TTATTCGTATTGTACTATGATTTAACTCTACAATTAGAACAGAGAACACTAAAAAAATTGTTCTGTTCTAAAAAATAAACGTAAAATGAAATAATTAAATGTACGCAAAAAATCCTATACGTATAATTGTAGTAAGAATAATTGAAGATAATAGGGCAGCTTGTAAAAAATGATGTTATTCCATACTGTAAAATCTGTGAAAAACTTACAAAAAAAGAATCATTTTGCATAAATTTTCATAAATAGTGACAAATTTTTCTATAACATTTATAAGGCTGTCTTTTATGAAAAATAGATGACTGGTTAATTATCCACAGATTTAATATAGGAATTACAGTAACTAAGAAATATTTATGTTTCTGCAAGCAAATGTTTGGTTTTCCATCGTATTTATGATTTGAATAAAATTCGTACACAGATGGGTTACATCTTTGATTTATACATAATTATCACGCGAATAAAGCCTCCTTAGTTATAAAGCTTGGTTAGTATATTATATTTTGTATTTATATTACTATTTTTATAGAAAAAACTAAAGTAATTATCAACTCTATCTTAATCTATCTATACTAATACAATCATCAGTCTATGCTCGTATGGTTGTGTGATTTATTCGTAAATAAATCAAGGTATAATAACAATACTTTTTACATTGACAGATTTGATGATAATATTTACGTATTTTAATACGGTTGTGTTAATTAATCATATCCGTGTATGCGATAAAAATATGCCATTAAGTACAATTTTATTTAGTACTAAATACGCTTGCGACTTTGTCTGTGTGATAGTCGAAATTATTTCATTATTTACTCGCATGTTCCCTTTAATGGTAATAATTACAGGTAAGTTATATACTAACAACATATAGCTTATATACAGGTAGTAGGTAATAATACAAATAAAAAATCGCTTAAATATATGACTGTTTCGATTTATTACTAATTTCTGGTAAATAATGTTTCCGTGATAATTTCAATAAAGCTTGGTTATCTTTTTATTAAGTTATATTAAAACAAACTATAGTTTATAATCATCAACATCATCGTCATTATCATATCAGCCGTTAATTGTCCACTGCTGAATAAAGGCCTCCTCTTATTGGCGGATATTTCCAGTATTTGTCATTCTAGGCAGGGGGGCTGGCAACCGCAGGTTAAGCTTTGTTTAAAGAAGAACGCTACTGCTCATCCCGTTACCTTAGTCACCTCTTAAAACACCTACGAGGAAAGAAACAATGGCCTATTTTATGCCTGAACCACAGATAATATAATACTATATTGTACCACAAAGCGAATATTTTATAATATACAATTTAAGTTATTTTTTATCCGCGACTTCGTCTAGAATGACTGGGTTATATTGATTGATCGAGATAACAAGTATCCTATGTCTTTTTAAAAAAAAATCTATTTCAATTACTTCCCATATGACAATTGTTTGTAACAAATAAACATACTTACTATCATATTTACAATATAAATATCGGATTTCATTGTTGAATTTCACATATAAATATATAATGTTAATATAAGTATAGGTTACTTTCATGCATGAATAAAACATTGATCCATAGCTAGTCAGAAAAACAATCGTCTAATATATTCCAATAACAAAAATACGTGGATCGATACTTAGATATTGGTTTGGTCCCGTTCACGTATGCAAATTATGTGCACTCGTAAAGGGCTACTTGCAATTCCCGTATGGAAACTAGACCTTAGTGGGTGAGAGAAGGAGGCTCCCTCTCGGGAGGCCAGTGAGCCAGAATCAATTTTGTGCGCTGTGTCTATAGAGAAATACGTAAGTGTATTCTCGATTATTGTACAAATATATGTTCATAACCTCATTACTTGAGGATATTTGTAATTTATTAAATTATATGTTGACCTATCTATAGTTCAGTTTTTATTAGTTTAAGAAAGTAATATCAATCTAAGAGTTTTATTTTCTTGGTCTAAATGCAAGCCAAATTATTTCTGTCCTTGATTGAACAAATTAATTTAATTAAAATTTTAATATTATACCAGTTAATATTAAGTATAATTTTATTCCTACATATTTAACTGCCATAATGGGAACAAATTACTTTGTTTGTAATTTGACTATTAGTTTCAAGGTAATTAAAGTTTTGGAGGATTATGTTTCTTTTTTTTGAATTCCTTCCAAATATCCTGTTATTGCATTACCATCCTTCTAATTGGCATATAAATCACAGCCATAAAAGTGTAAGTGTTTTACGGCTAAAATACAAATATTTCTGCAGTAGATTTTCGTAGAAAACTCCCTGTGATAAAAAAGCGTTTCAGTACGTTGTTTAAACTGCCTCGGCATTTTATTACATTATTTCTGTGCAGTTGCGTAGGCTCCGGATGCTTGCAATATCAGAAAATAGGTTTGACTTCACATTATTTTAACGAAGGGAAAGGGATTGTTAGTAATGGGGTTTAAAATCCACACTGTTGGCAATACAATCTATCAGGTCGATCTTCATGTGTTTACCCTTGGAAAGTATCGTAGTTAATTCTTGTTGAATTCATTACGATGGGCCAACATCATACAGATTCAATAGCGTAAGTGGAGCTAGCATTCGATTTTTACCCAATAAAAAAACTTCTCTTTAGTGAGGGAAGGGAATTTTTAGCAGCTGCATTGCTAGTACCATATTCTGTTAGATCAACCTCCACGCGATTCTCATGAAAACTAAAGTGATTAATTTTTAACGAATTAATCACGATGGATCAACTGACTAATTCGTCCATACCTATTATCATTTACTAGTATACTGTCAGGTATACTGGTGGCGTAGAGTTACCATTCTACCTATAAAAAAATATAAAAACTTCACTTTAGTAACTCAAGTATACAAAAACTCTTAGAAGTAACACAAGAAATAAAATGAGAAAATTGCCTTAAGCACTATTTCACGTTTTTTTCTATTTATCAATTGGCTTAGTTACTATGTAGATATAGATAATCAAAGAATATTAATGTCTCATAGTATCTAAGCAAATTAAAATGGTTTTTTAAACTTGTAGTATCTTATAAATGTAACGAAAAGAGAATAATTATGTAGTTAACAAAGTTAAGTAGCTTTTAAATTCATGACACAACCGAAGGGGATAAAAGGTTCTTAAGCGGCGACCTCGTACAGACAAAGGCGCTGTAAGACGACTCCCATCAGATGGAGTACATACGACTTCAGATGCATTGCAGGGAGTCAGTGAGTGCAAGTGGCTCGGGATCGTTTTTTGTGTCTATGAATTATATTATTTTATTCGTATTGAAGGTTTATGTTCAGCAGAGGACAGATAACTGCCAATATGATGATGATGATATGTGGGCTAATGTGGACGGATAAACGGACAAATAAAAGTCTAAAAAGTGTCAATAATACAAATTCTGTTTAGTTTAGGACTAAATTATTCTCTGTGATATAACCAGTTTATTTATGTAGAAAGTATGAAAAAAAAAATTAGCCATAACACGTTGAATATCCATAGTATAATAACAAAACAATGTAAGTCCCGAGTTCACAATAATTAGTTGTTAGGATACTTATACGCAATCTATAATGTTAATGAGGCATCAAATCAATCTGAAATATTTTTTTTATTACGTATTTGTTAGATATATATATTTCAAACTAACGATGACATTTAATTGATTAATGTAGATATACGTCACAACTTCCTATTTATGATATTATATCTAAATACGATTCAATTACACGATTCTTTTATGAAGACGTAATAATCACAGCTCAGTTATAATTTACCTTGATTAGTCTAATCTACATATATATCTAATAGTGTTTTATAATTAATACTCCTATTTAACAACTATGCCTATGTATTGATGGAGTATAAACCATATAGAGGGCCAGTAATGTTCTTAAGTTACGTTATTGTTACGTTAGTCATGATATTGAAGGGCCACGCTGTTTGTCATTGGAAAATAACAACACTAGTTATTTCCTAAACTATTACTACTATAATTTTCTTAAAAAAAAATTTAATATCCTTATTATAATTATCCCTTATTATAATTATACCTTTCTTTTCCATTTTACTGATACCGGTATTCTTAAAATACTACCTACTCTATATTGTTCCATAATTTAAATATTTAACAATGTCCGAAATTATTTCGTTTATTTCGTCCGAATAGATAATTCGTTATTCTGCCTGAAAAAGCCCGTTCTTCGTGTTCAAAATTTTATGATTTCGTTAAATACATCATGAAATTATTAATATTTTCATTTTTCTGCGGCATTGTCTGCCTGCACATAGTTTTTAGTGGTATATTCAATAATCACAAATCTTTAATTAAAACAAATGGTTTCAATACCATTGAAGTTTCGTTAAGTACATATTTGTACGTAGATAAGTAGATAATTATCGATGTATTCTTAACTTTGAAGAATTTTGTTCAAGTACAGTAAAGAAACCCACCAACTGTTCAAATAATATGAAATATACGAAGCAAAGTATTATAATAAAGTTTAAATTAACAAATTTTATATAAAAACATAAAATTTTAAATTGGATGAAAGCAGGTTTGTCTGTGTCTGTGCTCCGTCAGTCATTCCATCATGACGGATTTTCAAGAATCAACCACGATAGTTCCCAGAAAAAACTATGTGGAGGTAGGCTTGACATGGTATATTGTTAGCGGTGGGACCACTAGTCCGCATCATTAACAATCTTTTCTCCCCTTGAACGGATGGGTGGATGTAAAAGGGCGTTAGTCGTTTATGGCTAAGAAATTAAGAATATTATCAAAATTGAGGTCAAAGGTCAATCAAAACAGACTTCATAATGTTTATGTATACCCATTAATAAAACGTAGTATTTATTTTTCTGTAATTAGATTCTAAAAAGATCCAAGACTGAGCCCATGTGTGTAATTGAAAACTTGATGAGACCTCGTTAAAAGTATTAATTTTATTTAAAGATTGTAACAGTAATATAGATAAATGAACCTTATCGCTGAAACGTTGTGGTGTTACAAGTCAGTAGTGTGTGAGCGCGGTGCGCTGTAAACATCTGTACGTTAATGATATAAAATTTTATAGACTGTGACGTGAAGTTGTATTTATACAGTATTACATTATATAAAAACATTTTAATACAAGTAAAAACAATGGGTGCAAAAGAAATAAACGGTAGTGCTATAAAAGCAAACAAAAAAAATAAAGAAAAACCTAAAGCTTCGCCCACTCCGCAGAAACGACCGGGAGCGATTTCGCGGTTTTTCTTCTGTTGGATGTTTCCTTTATTCTATTACGGGAATATTCGTGATCTGGATGAAAGTGATTTGGTGAAAGCAAAAAAAAATTATGACTCAAAACGTACAGGAGATGAGTTAGAACGGTGTGTTCATAAATTTAATATTTTATTTCATTAGTGATTTGACTTATTCTAAGAAAATTGTACAATTTAAACATTTTGGTTATGTTTAGATTTAAAGATTAGGCAGGTGTGGTAGTAACATTACAAGATATATAAATATCTTAGTCGTCAGGAATGACAACGCATTAGGGGTACCATGGATGTAAAAGCATATTTTATGTTATTTACATATATAAGAGAGGGTTACTACTTTCCACAGACGACCCCTAAGCTGGTTTATTATTCAGTCTCATAAAAAATAAGTAAATAACGCATGAAGAAATAAAATTTAACAATAATAATCATATAGATTAATATCTAAAAACAACAAATACATTTCCGTTAGGTATATTTATTTTAATAAGCATCCATAAACCTTGTAAATATGTATTTTCTTTATAACAAATTAATATGGAATAAATATGGGAATGAAAAATAATGAAAATGGGTCTTCACTAGTTCCAAATATTCCATAATTATCTACCTATATATAAAAAATATTCGAATTGAAAACCTTCTCCTTTTTGAAGTCGAAATTAATGAAACTATGTTTGTCACTGAGTTTTGCACGCAGTTTTGTATATTATTATAAACATTATTGACTATTATTACCAGATTTTATTATTATTAGATATACTGTCTTGAAAACAACATATGAAATTTGCCAGTTATTTTTTCAAATAAAGAAGTTAGGGTAGATACTAATCAATGGATTTTGTAAACGTGAAAGTTTGGTATCTCTTAGCGCTTTAGTGGCACAGCAAATTACTTTTCATGGAATTTTATATGTATGTAAATTGTATGTCCTTTTTCATACCATTCTTTATTGTTGTCAATACGTTTTGGTTACACGAACAAAGTTATAAACATGTTTTATGTAAGGGTTTAAGTTATATAATTAGAATGAAAACAAGTAAATTTATTCACGGATACGACTGTTATCAGTGCATTGAATCAAATTTTAGAGATCCTGCCATATCAGCTTTCTAATCTGCTATCTTGACAATGGAGCGAGTATGACTTGTACAAGCTACTTAACTACGTCACGCACGTGCATTTTAACGTCATATAAGATTTATGTTCCATTAAAAATTTTACTTCAGTTGTGGCAAAACCAATTATTTTAATTTAAAACCCATTATTATTTTAACTATTTAACCGATTTTGATAAAATTTCTATGGGACTAATTTGTAAGCATTTCAAATAAAAAAGAATTTTTATAATCTGTATGTCACTGACGGAATTATAGGGTAACAAACAAAAAAAATACAATAGAATTAAGAACTTTTTTCTTTTTGAAGCCGGATGAAAGTATAATTATCACGGTATTTTAAATATTAGCAAGCCGCTTTATCTTATTTCTTCTTTTGTATTAGTAGAATATTTTTTGAGATTCTAGTTTTTATTTTACTCGCATACATATTAAGTACCATGAAATCAAAAAGATAGCAAAAAAAGCAAAAATAGGTCAGTGGCGTAGTAGATCGTCCGAGACCACGCACCGCGGTGCGAAACAATCATTAGGAACCTCCAAGAGTACCCCCAACTATTGCTCAATATATATATTGTTTTAACATTTAACTACTCTTATGAAATTAAAATAAAGATGTCGATTATATTATGATACATATTTCAATATTTTTGGCTACAGGAATATATATTTTATCAATAAAATTAGGTACAAAACATAAGTAAATACAATTTATTTATCATCTATTTTAAACATTACCCTATTCACAGAAAGTTTAATCTCCTATTTGCTCTTTTTAGTGAACCTATTTGTATATCAAAGTTTAGAATTAAAAAAATCTATGAAATGAAATACATTTAACGGGTACATGGGTACCCCATTATATGGTCTTCTTATTTTGTTAAGTAGTACATTCGGAATTTATGAGTCATTGAAAAGTATCAAAAAGAATAAGCATCAATTAAAGAGTAGGCATTATTTATTTACATTACACAATCATTATTTACTATATATTCTTTTATTAATAGTCTATGCTAATATTATAATAAAATAGATACAGTTGTTTAAATATAATAAGGTAGCTTTATTGTGAGAAACAAGCATGATGTTAAAAATTTAGTTATTTTGTCTGATATAAACTAAGTGTAATTTAAAATGGTGTGCGGTAGGCTTCTGTTCTTATTTTTTATAAAAAAATTCTGTAAATTGTTACTAACATACTAAACTTTTGTTGTTCTTTTACTATGTGAAGCATGCTTCTCTAATAATATGGTATTACTTTATATATTTCATTCGATGCCATTTTAAATAAGTTCAGTAGCAAAACAGATTCTACTACTATTTCCGCAATGTGAAATTTGTGAGTACATTTCATGGTAATATTAATTTTATGCAATAGGCTTGATTAGGCAAAAGAGTCTGATAATCTGCATTTAATCGAACCCTATACATCTCGAATATGTATCGAATTTATTAAATCAAATTTAAAAAACCATGACAATTACAAAAAATATATTTAAGCTAAATTTATTTAATTTTATCGTTGAACACAATATCGCAGTATAAAAAAGTGTATTCTTAATATGTTAATATATATATATATATATATATATATATATATATATATATATATATATAAAATGTGGCTTTTCGTAAATTCTATAATAGTAAATAAATTTGATTGCTACCTTTTAATATCTTAAAATAATGTGAGTGATTAACAGGACCTTATTATTACAGTATAAGTAATAATATTCTATTACCGTATGTATACTCACGATGAGCTCTTTGCCAGTTTTTTATGAATGTATGTTTACTATGTTCTTGATTATTACTGTTGTAATAAGATAATTGAAGAGATTATCTTTATCATTATTTATATAATCGATTGTATACACGTAAAAATTATTACGAGTATTAATCGTAATTTTCCACAAGAAGTTTAATTTATTATATGAAGAGATTCTCTTTTAATCGCGTCGCTAGAAGATATTGATTGAGTGGGATAAAAGGTTGCCAAAAAGTAATAAAAAGTAGTTGAATATTTCTTTCTAGGATATAGTACGTCTGTGTGTCTAATTATAATTTAATTGTATGAATAACAAATATTGAAAACAACTTTAGAGACTGTAAAAAGATTTTAATAATTTTTTGTCAGTTGGAGTTACAGTATAGAAAATAGAAATATTTATATTAGTAGATATTATATAAATTTAACGTACGATTACGATTCTTTCCTTCTTCTTATTGCGATGGAATTAGAATTATTCATGCATCAATAGGCAGGTCACTTTTAACTTTTATAAGTATAATAGTTGTGCATTCTAATGGACTTAAAAAAGAAGAAGAGACAGTTATATAGAGTGAATTTTTTATAGTTTTTTATTTACTAATAAAAAAAAATCAAATTAAAAATTAGATTAGTTATAATCGATAGATAGATAGTTAATAAACCTGTAGCTCCTACATAATATTGTTTCAAATGAAATTAATTTTTTAAACGACTTCGATAAAGGAGGATCTCAATTCAGGTATACTTTTCAGTATCAGAAAATGATGTTTTTTAAATGACGCATTTATTAGACCGATTTAGAAAAATATTTTTTATCTAAAAGGAAAAGAGTTTAAATTAGTTTCAAAATAGTCCCGTAACCATTTTATAATAATCGGTTCAGTAGGTTTTAATTAAAAAAAATAACACGAAAGAAGTCGGTGTTTTTTTTTTGTAAAACAATGTCTTAAATTATGTAAAACAAAATATTAATTTGACAGGAGATGGCTAGAAGAAGAAGAAGCAGCGAAAGTGGCTGGCCGAAAGCCTTCTTTTAGAAACGTCCTCATCAAAACTTTCATTTGGTCCTTCTTACCTGGTGGGCTCATGCAATTTGGTTACGTAGTATTAAGGTATTGTATTTTTTTTTTATAATAACTTATTTAATAAATATTACATAAAAATATATACCAGCAAGTGATAAGATTTTACATTATGTGTAGACTTACTTATAACTTTTCCATCAAAAATAAATTCAGTGGAGGATGTAGAATTCTCACGGCGTGTGTCATAGGACCCAATGTTCTACTTAAACTAAAATTAAATGGTTGTACAAAAATTGCATAAATTAAAAGAAAGTGTGACCATAACAAGGGAGTGTTATGGAGAACTTGCTGGCACCGATTATTCATAGAATCGATGAGACTGTTAATGTTATCCTGCGGCAATTGCTCCCAGTGAAATTTTAGTAAGTCCATCAGTTGTTGGGTTGTTGTCACTCCATCCAAGTCCTTTAAAACACGTCTCTGGAGCATGTCCCATGTATGCTCGATGGGGTTGAGATCTGACGATTGTGCAGGTTAGCGCAATATCAGGATGTTTTCCCTTGCCAAGTACTCCCGTGTGTGCAAAGCTGTATGCGAACGCGCATTGTCATGCATCAACGAGAAATCGGAGCCAAGCGTTTGTGCCAATGGACGGACATAAGGCCTTAGAACATCCTCAACGTAATTTACAGCGTTCATGTTACCATTTACAAAAACGAGCTCAATTCGTCGGTTTTTCATAATACCTGCCCATACCATAACTCTTGAGCCGTTGTATGAATGCACTTCCTGAACGCATCTCAGTCTTTCAGTATTTCCAGGACGACGGTACACTCTTACCCTTCTAATATCAGGCTTGAACCCCAATCGAGACTCATTGCAAAATAAAATGTTATCCCATTGTTCTCGGGTCCATGTAATGTGTTTCCTTCACTATTCATTTCGTCGAGCGCGATTCCAGTGACGTATCGGAAGGCCAACCAATTGGCATCGTGCTCGTAGGCCATACTCATACAGTCGATTTCGCGCAGTTTGGCAGCTAACAATACACCACTTGAATTTTGGAGCCTTAAACTTATATTTCGGGCGGTTAACATCGGCTGGTGTCTTGCAGTCAGTTGTATGTATCGATCTTGCCATGTGGTTGTACACGGCAAGATCTGGGTGTTGCTCAGCAGGGTCTCCAGTGTTAGTGTAACGCTGATAAAGACGGCAAATAACGCTTCTGTTGACACCAAAATACCGAGATACCTGAGATTGTCTTCTTCCCGCTTGCAACATCCCTACAGCTCTTTGCATTTCATCTGCGTTCAAATGACGTCGCTCCATGACGTAAAAAATGTCTCAAAATCCAAATTTATACAAAACTTTTATCAAATTATTGTTTAAATTATAAAATTTTAATAAGCAAAGAAAACGCTATAAAATTCGAACAAATGCATTCGCTTTTGAATTTGTGAAAAAAAAAACAAATGATACTTGATTTTTTTTACAAATAGCCAGTATGTCCACTAGATCAAAAAAGTTTACATAGGTATTATCTACTTGGTAAGAAATGATATAATAATCAATTAATAATTTGAAATAGTATGTGTTGTTTAGCCTTTTTTGATGTGTTTATTAAAGATATAAGAAAATTCCGCCAATTGTTTTCCGTTCTTGAGAGAATTTTCAGTTATAATTTGTTAACAATGTAATAATGTTTGTCTGTACTTTTTTATTTTTTACACACTCATTTAAATTATGATTAAAAACTCACTTTAACTCTATGAACAATTCTATCGATATATTTCAACTAAAAAAAATATTTGTAACTATTTGTAAAACAATAGCATTAATACGAGTAGTTATTGAGGTATAAAACTTTGACAGATGGACAGTATAAAGCATCATATGTGTCCCTATGTACCATATTGGTAATAGAGTCTAATTCTATTGGTGTAAAATAAATATTATAAATGTTGAATTTCAAACAGAACAGGAACACCGCTACTTTTTGCCCGGCTACTTCAGTTTTGGTCCCCGACCGATACTATAGACCAGCTGACGGCGATGTACTACGCTGTCGGGCTCATCCTCGCCAACTGGGTGGCAGCTTTCTTTAATCACCACGGTAATTTGTATTGTCAGCAGTTCGGGATGAAACTTCGAGTGGCTACTAGCTCGTTAATGTTTAGAAAGGTAAACATTAATATAGTTATTTAATATAATTCAACGATAAATAAATTAAAAAAATATATCATGGAAAGAATATTCTGTTGTCTTATGAATATGAGATAAAATTACTTTTCACCGTTGATGTAACCTAATGGCATGGTTTATGAACAGATCATCGTAACTTGGTGAAATTGATAACACTCGCTTATGTAAGGAAGAAGTTTGCCTGTTTAGTTTTGATGGCTGAATTAGGCAGAATCTACTGAATTGATTAAATATATTATATATATTCGTATTAATCAATTATGAAAATAGATTATTCTATTTTATATGATAGTTCGTGGATTTCAATATATAAGTATAGATAGTACGAGTAAATATGCTCACGACTATAAGCTCTCATGAGGTAGTTAGTACAGAGGAATATTATTCAGATTATTTTACCAGAGGGAGACTTTGTACAAAAGTCGATTGCTTGGGTACCTCTGTCCCATTCGTATTTCAACCGTGAACCAGTTGTGTTTGCATGGCTGTGTTTCGGTTTGAAGGGTGGGATTTGGCGTGAATTTAGTGGGTACAGAGGAATAACACTTGAGTGCTCAGGAATGGCAACCCATGGGGGGTATCATGGGCGAAACAGTATATTCTGTTATGTCCATGGTACTGCTCATGTCTTTAGGCGACGGTTACTACTTTCCACTAGGTGGGCCGTCAGCTTGTTTGCCATTCCAAGTTGTATAAAAAAAAAAAAAACTTATTATTGATGTTTTCGATTACTGTTAGCTTGTAATTATAAGAATAATATAGAATAAGGAATAGTATACCACTAGGTCGTGAAACCTGCAATTAATTGTTCTTTAGATTTTTTTTTATGCAACTAGAATTACAAAACGACGACCCACTTGATAAAAAGTAGTAACAGTCGCCTAAAAATACGAACAGTATTATAAATATAACAGAGTATACTGTGTAGGTAATGATAGCCTTCATACGTTGCCTTTCTTGAATCAATTTAGTGTAACAGGGTCACAGTAGTGTTGTTAAAAGCCAAAGTAAATTTTTAGATAATGCGTATGAACAACGGGTCTCTTGGTGAGACGACGGCGGGAAAAGTGGTGAATCTGCTCTCTAACGATCTGCAGCGGTTTGACATGGCCTTTCTCTTTTTGCACTACATTTGGATCATCCCACTGCAGCTAATCGCAGTATCCTATCTAGGTTACATGCAGGCGAAAAACGCTGCCCTAATAGGGTTAGCGGCTTTAATTTTAATTGCATTGCCAATTCAAGGTGAGTGATATTTTTAACCTTTTTAAAAATAGAAGACATTTTGTCGTTACATTATTTGAAATATACCTTGAATATCTTATATATATACGAGTATATATAATCTTAAATAGAATAGATTTGTTCAAAAAATAAAAATAAATGAGCGAAATGGTATTTTTCATTTACAATTTCTATCACAAGTCGAAAACCATGGCGCATTAAAGATAAAAGCCGGTTTTAGAATATGTAAATGAAGCCATTTTGTACAATAATCCTATGAATTAAAAGGCATGTTTTGAAAGTCTATAGATAACATAATACTAGCAAAAATAAATAAATATATTTTTCAATTATTTGTTAACAATAAAGGTACGTCAAAAATATCTAAAACTATTCCTATTTCAAATTTCAAATCTATAGCCTTAGTAGCACAACATATACGCTCATTTGCAAATAAACATTAACTATGTTTACCACGCAAATATAAAATCTCTTAACTCTAAATAAAAAATTAATTAACCTTCATATAATATATATGGGTATATAATATACATCATACTGTACGGTCCCGGCATAGAATGGACCACCACTTCCTTACACGTGGGTGTCGTGAGAGGCGACTAAAGGAGTTTAATGGTCGAGGTATGGGCAACAGCGTCTCTATTAAAACATCACCAAAGCTTAACTGCGGTTATCAACCAGTCTACCAAGCGTGACAACTACTGGCTCCTCTATCTCCCTGATAGGTTAAGCCTATGTTCAGTAATGGATAGTTAACGGCTGAAATTAACGATGAAAATGAAATAATATGGTATATACCAATGTTATTGAGAATGAAAAAAACTTGAACAGTTACAGAAAATGTTGCCACTGGTGAATACTTGAACAAATCCTTAAACCTATATAACGTAGTCTGTATATAATTTGCAATGAATGTATGCACAGATGTTATTATAATCGCTCAGCTTGTCTTACAGTCATATATTACTAGTATTATACATAAGTAGTATAGTACTTATTGGTGCATAGTATATATATATATATATATCATATATATATATATATATATATATATATCATAGTAATAGGAGTCAGTCCAGTTTTTGGTATAAGAGGAATAATACCTTAATATTTCGCAGTGACTACTACTAAGGGTGCAATGTACGTCACGGTTTTCTGTGCTGGCCAGGATGTATTTTTTTTAAATAAATCTATTTTTTACTTACAGATAACATTCTTTCTGATTTCTTCTATAAGTGAAAGAATTTTTAAAATCGGTTAAGTTTTTTTTTACAAAAAATCAAATCTTATCTCTTTATGATATTAGTTTAGATAACATTTTTCATTATAAAGGCTGTCCCCTGGATTGCTTAATCAGTACCATAAAAGAAATACTTACTACTATCATGTATAAAACTGAATGGATTTGGACAAAATGTATGTATGTGCATGTACGATATATATAAACATATCAATCATTATGAGTAATATCAGCACGTTTACGTCTAGGTACTCAATTTAATTAATCATATCAATTATTTAGATATTCAGTGTAAATAACAATGTATTTACGTTTTCAATAAAATATGAGAAATTATAAAATATATATTCTAAACGTAATGCTGGGTTTACATTGGGATTGTTTCGGTGGCATCATTTTTCTAAACCTACCGTTAAACTTAATATTTCATATTGATATTAAAGCAGTTTTTAATGTAAAGACCAATAAGAATTAAATTTATAATAGCATATATTGATGGTCGATAAAATAGTAGTTACGCAAAACTATCAAAATAAAATGTTAGTTTAAAAGATGGATTTAAGTAAATGGAAAAACAGACCGTATTACGAGTATGAATGTAAAGCGGTAGCTTTTGACCGTCTAGTACTTACGAGTACTTTAGTAAGATTATACGCGTATAATATTATTATTAGTATTACTAAAACACCTGTGTATTTTAATAATAATAATCTATGCTGTATTATTATTTATTAAATTATATACTTAAAGTATTGCATTTTTTTCAGTTACTATCGGTAGGGTACTTGGTAAAGTGCGTATGCGCACAGCCGAAAGGACAGACGATAGAATAAAAGTAATGAGCGAAGTTATAAATGGAATTCAAGTAAGTACAGTTTGATTTGTTTTAGACTTTGTAAATAATGAATTAGCTATGAGTAGATTGGGTTATCACAGCTTATCAAGCTCTACGCATGTATTTATATCACAGAGCCAGCGGTGAATTTTGATGCTAAACATCATGATTGAAAAATCTGCCTTCCTTTTGCTGTGAAAACAGTTTAAGTAAAGAATCTTATTTATTAATATATAAAATTGTAACTAGACGTGTTTGTATATGGGTGAAATGGTTTGTATATAGGGAAAAAAATATGGAGGATCTTAATAAGACCAAGAGACATATAAGCTATAATTTTTAGAAATATTGTCTGCCCGTATGCTTGTTTCTGCATCACGCAGAAACTACTGCAACAAAATGGATACGGTTTCCATAATTGTATTCCAGAAAGTGTAGCTTAAAGTCTAATATATGTTTTATCTTAATACGCCATCTAGAACAATCGGTCTATTTCATTAAATTTCCTACTTATGAAATTTATGCGTACGAAGTAGTGAGCAAATAGTGATTTTATAATATTCTATAAAAGTTGTCAACGCTAGTGTTGCGTTTAATTAATTTATCTGATCTACTAACAAATAAACAGTCTATGCTATTCATTTGTCATGTATATGTCTATGTCCGTGTCCTTAGGAGATAAAACGGGACATTATTTTCTCTGCAGACAAATATCAATCGTGTAGATCTGCGTAGGCCTTTATAACGCACGTGTGCGTTCATATAAAATTATTTGCATGTTAGTTAAAGTAACTAAACATTGGTCACATTTAATTATGTATACTGATTAAACTAAAAGTAATTATTTGTAAATATAAAATTAACGAACAGTAATTTTTGTATTTCTATTGTCCTCAATAAATATTTTTTAATAATCTTCTAATTTATTTTTAATTACTGGCTTAAGTCATATGGGACTATAGGTATATATTTAAGAGAATATGATGAATGTTATTTAGGTTATAGATAATCATTAAGAAATTAAAATACTTAATAGATTTACATATTAATTTAGTCATTAATACAATTAGATTGTTTTAAATCATTGTAAATTTATATATTATACATACGTACCTATAATATAACATATATTTAATTGTATTTAAATATGAAATTGAAATAAGATGTATATACTATTTCTTATTTATAGGTTATCAAAATGTACGCTTGGGAGATTCCGTTCCAAAAGGTGGTTAGAGACAAACGTGGTAATGAGATGAAGCAAATACGAGTCGCTACCGCACTTAGAGTTGTGTTCTTAGGATTTTTGATATTTACGGAGAGAACCGCGCTCTTCATTACAATACTTACATTTATATTGTTTGGCAACTCCATGACAGCTAATGTTGTAAGTATTGCATTATATTATTATTATTAAATTACATTGGTTCACTTATGTGTGTGAGCCCATAACTTTGTCTGTTTGATTGGAAAAATAACTTGTGCCTTTCTCGTAAGAGTGGGAATTGCTTGATTCGGTTTGAACTGAAAGTGTTATTTTTGTCCAAAAAACTTGATTATGTTCCATAAAAACACTGACTTTAATCGTGGCAAAACCAGTTATTATGAATTAAAAATTAAATAATGAATCAATTTTATAATATTTCCATGGGCCAATCTGAAATCCTTTCAGATAAAAAAAAATGGAAATTGGTTTTTAGCAACCGAGTTAAATACCTTGTTTTTTGAAATTAGTTGAAAATATAATGGTGATTACTAAGATATTTAAAATAAATTTTCAGTGTCTTATAAAATATTTTCTTTTAGATATATCCATTACAACAGTTTATGAACGCAGCTCAGATTAATATAACATTGATTCTCCCTTTGGTGTTTGCATTCTCATCCGAATTACTTGTTTCAATTGGACGAGTTCAAGACTTCCTTATGTTAGGTAAGTTTAGAGGAATAAAAGAATATTTTCAAAAATTGTAATTACCTATCGACCTGTTATCATTTAAAATGATTACTATACTACATCTTCTTAAAAAACAAGAATTCAAATGTGAATTACCAAAGTGACAATATTAAAACATATAGTCAGACTAATAGAAAGGACGAAATGACACATTTGACGACAGGTATATACTAGTGGTCTAGCGCTTGTGGCATATCCCGAACAATTAGGTGATAATTCAGCATATATTGATCTATAACTTATAGATAGGTGCATACGTCTATGTCCATTGAACAACTAGTAAACAAAAGACTGTTAATATTATAAGCAACTGTAGGTCATTAGTTAGCTCAAATTGAAATGCTTCTTCGATATCTTTATATCGATGACAATTTTATTGTCCGCGGTCTGTGTATCTGAGTAGAATTGATAAAATATTTGGGTGATCTAAATGGATTTGAAATTTTGTAGGATTTTATCTGAGTTTATTCAGATAACAAGCATCGAAATTATGACTGTGTTCTATAAAGTTCTATATTATTCCTTTATGAAATTTGAAATGGTTAATAACCTGACGGCTTACCTTTTTTATTGACCTGTCAAACAAGCAAAAGGTCTACCTGGATGGTAAGCAGTACCTGGTGAAAAGTTACAACCGTCGCCTATATAGATTATCTAATTGAATGCCATGGATATAGTGGAATGAAAAAAAAAACGTAAAGTAATTGCACGAATACAATTCTGCTTAATATATTATTAACAAATATAAAAAGGCGATGGCATAGCAGGCTTGCGTTGCCAAAAAAAGATTCGTTCTGATTTACAGAGGACCGTCCCGACTTGGTGGCGAGCCATTCGACCTCAATGGCGAGTATATTCCGAGACTCTATCAGCTCCAGTGAAAAAGATATGTGTGTTAAAGCGCTCTCGTACAAAAGAAAATCGGATGCATCCTTTGTTAAACGTGAGTATTAGTAATTATCCAATTAAGTACTTTGTACGCTCAGTTGCACAATGTCTGGCTGCGGTCTAAGGATTAAAAAATTTAATCTTAGCGCGGAAACAACGTACTTTTTCTAATTTGTGTTAAGAGTGTTCTTAACTTTTGCTTATCTTAACGTGGTAATGTCGCAATTACCTCTCAATTTACAAAAATAATTTAACTTCTTTCAATTATTCTCACTAATTATTTAAAAAGGTGCTCTATTAGCGAACTAAAACGTTAGTCGTAGACACTGTATATAAATTTTGCAGTAAAATATTTGTACCTACTTCATATTTTATTTCCATGTATTTGAAATGTTTTTATCATCAACATTAAAATATTCAGTGGTAGCTAAATAACAAAGCTAATCGTAATAGTAGGTAGAGTACTTTTTAAATAATTACTCAGAAATATTAGAAAATTTTCAACTGTTTTTGAAAAGCGATAAATAATTACGACGTTGCTACACTTCGTTATGAACGCTTTTAAAATTATGTAAAGTAGTTGTTACTTACTCCGGTCCTCGTAGAATAAGCATAACTTTTATTTATAACAAAGGCAAGGCAAACTATAATTAACTTTTGATATCATAAGGCGCCACTCTCAGCCCAAAAGTTAAAGTACTAACATACAAGTCAAGAAAAAAACTAGTTTTATTGTCTCCCGTGTTTCAGTACTAAAAGGCGACAAACAATACAATGTGTCAAGTTCGTTCTGTGACAAGCCAAGACGAATAGTGGAGGTTCTATTAGAATTCCATTAAAACTTTGTCTATACTAAGTATAAAGAGAGAATATTTGTTTTTTTTTTGTGTATGTTTGTTTGTAAAGGATAAACTACTATTCAATAATACTATTCAACCGGTTTTAAAAATTCTATCACCAGATAGAAAAATAGAAGTTACACTAGCAGCGAGTGATATAGTCTATAATTAATATTTAAAAAAAATCAGAAATCCTTACGAAAATTACAATGATGCAATTAAAGGTATCAAAATTTGCCATAATCGGCAAATTTTTGTTATACTTGCTAATGCGAAGCCGAGACGAATTACTAATGTCATATAATTTAATTTTAACATATTAAATCAGATTATTTCTTCTGATGGAGTTAATCCAGAACATTAAATTCAAAGTTGCTTAATTAATAATAAAAAAAAAAATTCGTTAGGTTCGAGCATGGAACGGAAATATGCAAGAAGCGTATCGCAGCCAGCATTGGACATCGCAGTGGAAGTACGTGATGTATGCGCAAGCTGGACAAGTGACCCCAACTTCTTGGCTCTCAAGAATGTTTCCATGCGGCTGCGTAAAGGCAAGCTCTGCGCTATCATTGGAGCCGTCGGTTCTGGAAAAGTACAGTTTGTTTGCAATGTTGTTTACAATTTAAATTGCAATAGAGAAATACTTGAGTGACCAAATCATAGACATGAACAGGACATACATTCATCAAAACAGTAGGGCGACCTTCCAAAAGATGGTGGAAGTGATTAGGGTATTTTGTGGTAAAATGTTAGAAAGTAAATAGGTTTATTTAGCTGTGAAATATTTACTGTATAAGTGGTAATATTGTTGATAACAGAGGTTATTTACCTTTATTATGGCAAATTTAATTAAAAAGGAATAAATAAATAGATAAGCCCATAATCATAGGCGTGATAGTTAACTGAAAACATAAGTCGACTGTTGCTATTGCGATGAACAAACGTAATATTTGTATTGCTCTCTTTTAGTCGAGGGGTTACCTTACCGCTTTCTTCTTTTGTAATTTAGTATATGCTCACCAGAGTTAATAGAAAATTTTAAGTGACACATATATCTTTTAATGTGGGCTAGGTTTGATCTTATTTGCTATTAAGTTTTGATGCACCTAAACCACTAGGTTAAAACCCTCTTAAACACATGTTATGAATTTATGTTCGATATAATATTTTATATAAAATCTGAAATATTATGAAAATTATTTACTTGTCATATTTTTTATACATAATACTAGTTGACCCGGCAAACGTTGCCATATAAATATTTTTTCAGAATATATTTTTTGCACCATAATCGCATAGCGGTATGTAATATGTTTTCCGACCTATTTTCATACCTACCAAATATAAAGGTAACTGTTTCGAAGGAGTTCAACCACAAACATTGTAATACGAGATTTTTAAATATAAAATTAATACTGTGAGATGATAGATATAAATTATTTTTTTAGATTGTAAATTATTCTTTATTTTTACCAGTCGTCTCTGTTACAACTACTGCTAAAAGAATTGCCAGCGGCTTCTGGCAGCGTTTCAATACAAGGAAGCCTGTCATACGCATGCCAAGAGGCGTGGCTCTTCCCCAGCACGGTCCGAGAGAACATCTTATTTGGCCTTCCTTATGACCCGGTTAAGTACAGAAAGGTATGAACTAAAAACTTATAATTTTTTTTTATTATTTGATACACGTCTTTGTGTTTGTCATGTTCTTATTTATTATCTTTATTATTGGGGTTGAATATTAATTTTTTTATTGATATTTTAGATTAGCATAGGTACATATACTAGCTATCTCTGCGATTTCATTGTCGTGGTAGTAAAAATTAATTCAATTCACAAATATATAAAGTGCTTATCAAATAGATTACGCTATAGGTGATTTTGTCGAATATTATGTATCGAGTTTAAATATAATTCATTTTATAACATTTTGTTGTTTTATTTTCTTAAGATTGCTACAATTCAAGTTACTTTTTTTGTGTAGCAAAATTTTTAAGATATTATTTTAAATTGTTTTTGATTTCATCGAAATTTTAAATTTAATTTTATATTTGAATAGGTCTGCAAAGTATGCACGCTTGAAAAAGATTTCCTGCAATTTCCATACGGAGACCAGACTTTGGTGGGTGAGAGAGGAGTGTCCCTATCGGGGGGTCAACGAGCCAGGATCAATTTGGCGCGCTCTGTTTACAGAGAAGTATGTAATTGATTGTTGTTTTTGTTACTTCTTTAGTCTTTTTAAATTATTATATAGCAAACAATGTGGAAATTATAGATTATTTAGAAGTGCTCTAAGAAGCAACTAAAATGTTAATTTTGCAGTGAGATTCTTAATAATTTAACTTTGGATTTTGACAATCAAATTGTAACTTACAATCGCACGGTGGCTATTCGAAGTTTTATGCGGTTGACAAACGGTTTGTGTATGAATCGTCTTAAGGTATAACTATTCTAACTGACATATAAAGACTTCAAATCGAAGTCTGGGCGAATCAGTAAGAATAAAAAACTCTTAAAATGTAGCTTACGATTATATTGTATGTTCAGGCTGATATCTACTTACTGGATGACCCGTTGTCTGCTGTGGATGCGAACGTAGGACGGCTGCTCTTCGAGGGATGCATCAATGGTTATTTACGCGGGCGGACCCGCATTCTCGTTACTCATCAAATACACTTCCTTAAGGCTGCTGATTATATCGTCGTGCTAAATGAGGTATAAATGAATAAAATTAGTAAGCGTTAAGCTAATACAGAGAAACCCTAATGATAAAAAAAGGAATCACGATAATCGATGCAGAGTTCGCGGAAATTTTATATAGGTGCCGACATAAAATACAATCGAATATATATATATATATATATATATATATATATATATACTTTATTCTTTTATATATATATATTCTTTATTGCACTAAAACATCCCTTTTTTGAAATTGGTTAAAAAACAATTTTGTTTATAGGACTCGATGATATGCTAAGACATAAATATCTAATCAGTATGATGTCATGGATATACCTAATTTTTACGAATCATATTTTTATCGATTTTATTCATCCAGTCTAAGTACACACGTGTGATACATATTTCGTTTTATCTTTACAATATTCGTAAAGTTGATAAGAATCGATTAAAGAATATAGGAATATACGTAATAACCTATTAGATAATATGCAGCTGACAACTGCAATTGTTCCAATTGACAACTGATAGCCAAATCACTCTCAAAATCCGGATGTGAAATCATATTTAGTTGTTAATTCAATTGCTGGAACTAAAAAGTGAATATTTTATATTATTGTGTGTTACCTCGCTTTATTCTTAACTAATTTTACTGATTGTTTTTTTATCAAAAACATTTACTTTTAGTATGATCTCTATTGTTATTTTTTTATATATAAAAAATTATTAATTTCGTCCATGGATTGATATTTCATTATCTTGTTTTGTAATATAAAATCATCTCATTTCACAAACGCTTATAGGTCTATTAATATTTTATTTATAGCACAGAGTAGATAGATAGATACTCTTTATTGTTTCCTCCAAAAGATTACAATAGTAAACTTATTATAAATATAAATAATTACAAGAAATAATCACAATGAGAAAACGATGGGCGACCTTATCGCTAAGAGCGATCTCTTCCAGGCAACCTTTGGATGGAGAGGAGTAATTATAAACAATTAGTAAACAAGAGTAATTAGATCAATTCAGGACTGACAGGTATTTAAAAAGTAACAAAAATATTTGTAGGTAGGATCAGTGAAGGATCGAACACACGACTTATATGAATAGTAAACTACTTGTTTAGTAGACCATTTTAACATCACTTTACTACCAAACATACATCATGTATTATATATTTTTTTATGTAACAGAGCATGTAGGTAAACCTACTTATAGAGCGTTCAAATAATTACTACAGGTGTATCATACATTACTAAAGAGCCGTTATATCTACCTTTATTTCTATTGTGATATATGTATATGTAAATCATTTGTTCATATACATAGATAACGAGATAACTGTTTCCAATATGTCGATACTATGAATAACAGTTAGCCGACCCAGCAAATGCTGTGTTGCCCATATACCGATTTTGTTTTTCATTTTGGAATAAAAACTATCCTATCTATCAGGTTCTAGCAAACAATATAGTAACGGTTTTGGAGATTAGCGTGAATGAATATTGTGACACGAGATGTTTATACATATACATATTAAATTAGGTCATTAAATAAGTTAAAGGCACCTAAATAAATATTAGGTATGATATTGATCGGTCTTATCTATTTCGTTTCAGGGTCGAGTGGAGAATATGGGCACTTTTGATGAGCTTGTGTCATCCGGCAAGGAATTTTCTACGATACTGGCCAGTTTACAAGAAAGCAAGGACAAAGACGCTGAGAGCGTGGGATCTGGAGCGGTAATAGCGGTTATTTTTATCGCACTTTTTTATATCTGAGTAATAATTATTGCAAACGTATTTGTATTTGACAATCAATACATACCTATTTCTCCGTTTTTATTCACTTTTGGTTCAAGCCCTGATCGAAACAATTGCTAGTAATCGCTCACTTTCTCTCCTCGGATAACATTGTATTAATATTAGCTTAAATATATTATTTTGTTTAATGTTTTTTGTTAACTACCTAATATAGTTAATTTGCGTTTCGAAATAATGACGATTAATTTCCATTGTTTCAATTTGACTTAACAGTATTATCCTTTTTTAGAGTGTGGAAGACAAACCTTCCTTAGCAAGAGCCCAATCATTCACTAATGATGAAGAAGAGAAGCTGCCTCAATTTGAAGCACAGAAGATGGTAGCAGAAGAACGACAATCAGGCAATTTGCGATGGGAGGTGATAGCGGCATATTTCACTTCAGGCGGAAGCAAGTTATTCATTACGTTTACAGTATTAATGATTGCATTGGCAGCAGCGAGTGGTGCATCGGCTGACTTCTGGGTCAGTTATTGGTTAGTTACTTTTTTATCAATATAATTAATAATTCATTTATTTTCTCTTCACAATTTATCACAGTAAAATACCATTAAATTTCTTATAATTAATTATTATATCATTAGGAGTGAACACAAGTTTTTAAACTGTGTTATATGTTAATAGAGTTTTAAATAATTAATTTAATAAAAATAAATATTAAAAATCCCAAGCGCGTCATTATATATGATACGTTGATGACTTAAGTCGTCAGTTATTTAATAATATCTTTAATATATATCAAATTATCGGATAATAAAATAATATCAGATAATTTCATGAACAATAATTTCAGGGTTGAAATTTAAATTTTATTAATGATATGTTTCCCTTTCCCATTGAAGGTCGAATCAAATGGCTATATACGAAGAGAACTTATCGGGAGAAAATATGGGTACGTAGCTATCTGTTTTACATTTTCAATAAAATTTTGTGAAATTATAAGTAATTACGAAATTTTATTACAATTTTAAGAAAAGACGATAAACATTGCTTACTCACTGTATGCGTAAAGTAAATATCAAGAAATAGGAATCTTTAGAAATTTTATTGTTTTTGTGAACTGTACCTAGATAATAACTAGTCATTAAAAAATTATCCTATATATGAAAGCAGTCTAAGTAAAGAACAATGGGCAAGAGACTGGACTTATGTCTCTTTTATGCAAAATTACATATTTAAGCAATCTAATACTAGCAAAAAAGTTTAAATTATCATTTTTATTCTAAGATTATAATTCTGATAATTATATAAAAATACTTAAAAACCTATATTATTTCACGGCTGAATAAGGTCTTCCCAGATCTTTCTACTTTTCTTTATCTGTACTAATTGTTGTTTATTGAATTCAACATGAGCACAGACTTTATGAAACGGCGGCGAGGTAGATCAAATAGAAGATGGTAAGATAACGCTGTGGTCCGTGTTCGTCATAAACTATTAATTTAAATATATACTAATGTAGATATAATTTAGTAATTTGATAAAATGTCTCTCTCAATTGGACAGTAGTTATATTAGACATTGATATAAAAGAAATTAAAACGCCTTTGTATATAGAAATCCGTCCATGGTGTTGTCTATAGTTGACGGATATCACTACCATCATTCGCCAGTGAATGGATTTCTAGAGTGAGAGAGTACTAACTCTTAAAACTGTTTGACCTAATGTTTGGCACGTAGATCCTGTACATCTTTTAAAAAAAGGATTTTTTGAAAGTCTCCCTTTAAGAGGGAATAGTAGATCGCGTGAGAGGGCGCTGGTAACAGATAGGTAAGGTATTTTTACTAAAGTGTTTTGTTAATTAAAATGTTTATTGACAGATCCTGGTTTAGGTGTGCAAGTTGGACGGTTCACTACAGGACAATATCTTATTATTCATGGATGTATCGTTTTTATGTGTGTACTGCTAACTAATCTGAGAGTTTTAACTTTTGTCAAACTGTGTGTCTCTGCTTCCAAAAAGCTACACGATGTAATGTTCTCCACTATGATTAAAGGCATCATGCGATTTTTCGACACAAGTTCATCAGGTTTGTAAACTTTAGCTCTATATATGTAATGTTTATAAATTAAAATTATATCCTCTATAAAATGATTCAATTCCCAAAGAGGGTTGACGTCAGGCAGGCGGCCGGTTGTAACACTATAAGCCAAATCTTTTTGTAATATGGATAAAAAAAAACATACGCCGACCCCAAATAATAATTGGGATAAGGGTAGGAAGATAATGAAGGTGATGGAAGTAATTCAATAGTAGTCTCTTTAAAATAAAATTATCGTTAAATTCGATTCAGAATTGTATAACATAATATGTACATATACAAAGATTTGAGACTTTTGTTTATTTTCAGTTAGCTGATTATAATGCTTAAAATAATGTTTATCAGTAATCTCTCGAACTAAGTCTACTTATTTTAAGTATTGTAATGTGAAAAGGTGCTAGATATTTTGAAATAAAATATTCCAATAAATAATCGTAATTTACTGTAACATTTATTATTACTAGCAGATTTAAGAACTAACTGATCTTTTCAGGTCGAATTCTAAATCGTTTTACTAAGGACATGGGTGCTTTAGATGAAATTTTGCCTAGGACACTTATGGACGTATTTCAGATATATTGCAATCTAGCTTGCGTTTTGATATTGAACGCAATAGCTCTATATTGGACTCTGGTCCCATCTGTAGTACTGTTAATTCTGTTTGTCTTATTTGTAAAAGTTTATTTAAAGACTGCACAAGGAATTAAAAGATTGGAAGGCACAAGTGAGTAATAATTTATGAATTTTATATTTTAACAATATAATGAATAAATAAGTGTACGTACATTACTTAATGTTAAATATCACTGGAACCAATTTCTGGAACTAATATTTTCTTATGTTTTATATGTCTAATTATCCTTTACTAATTTTTTTCATGCTTATAAAAAAATTAATAAGACTATATTACTCATTATTTAATAATAATATTTATTGATAAATTTATGACGTTAGAATTTGTTTGGTATTTCAGCAAAAAGTCCAGTATTCGGTATGGTCACTTCTTCCTTGAACGGTATAGCTACAATTAGGTCATTTGGCGCCCAAAAGAGGCTTATTGAACAGTTTGATGAGCATCAGGTACCTACATATTTCTAATTATCTACAATATGATTTTGACAATTTCACAGGAGATGCCTCTTATACGTAAGCATGTTTCGAGAAAGGGTTCTAATACTATCTACTTAATTAGTAGTAGTAGCTCATGATATTCTAGCTGAACAATGCATCCCTATTAAATTTTTCGTTATTGGAGTTAGAGAAATTATTATTTTAAAATTATATTCTTTGTCAGAGTTTTTAATTTTCTTACGTCACAAAAGGAGCTCTTTTTACAATTATATTTTTCAACTCTATGCTGATATTTTTCATATTTTAGTACATTTATTGAAGAATAATTTTTTTCATTATAATAAGCATGGATTTTTCAATTTGGAAAGTTATCTCACTATTACTGCTATTGTGACCTAAATGGCTGAATTGATTTAAATAAATCTGATTTGAATGAACTCGAGCAACACAGTCACACGAGTCACACGTTACAGGTAGTGTTTATCAATATTCTTAAAATAGGTTTGTTGGTTTGTTACTTCTATCGTCTTAACAGTTCCACCAAGTATTATCATGATTTGGCGTACACACATAAAATTACATAGACTATATTTAGTTCCTGTTAATTAATATGTTCCGGTCACGTAGACAAAGTCACGGGCAAAACTTGTGTATTCTTCATTAATTATTAAAATTTTGTTAATAATTGTTTTATCAGGACTTAAATACATCTGCATGGAATGGATACTTGGGTGGAGGCTGCGCATTCGGCTTTTATTTAGATTCCATGTGCTTGGTCTACCTTAGCAGCATCATATTTGCATTCCTTTATCTTGATTTTGGTAAGTGAACTTTGAACAAATATAAAAGAAAAAGTAAAGAAAAAAGCAGCCGGTAAGCACGGCTTATTCGATACGCACATTTTATAGCATAATATGTAGCATATGATTATGAGGCTTTAAAAACACTGCCGAGCAAAGTCTTATATTCATGTCTTGATACTATTGAAAATATAATATAGTATTGTTATATTCTATCCTAGATAATATTGCTCTAGTTTGAGGTATTTATGAAGTAGTGATTTTAGTCAGATATGAAACAGATTGTTGTGTTCAAGTATTTTTAAGTTTTCAACCTTTTATAGACGAGTTCACTGAATTTCTGGATTCATGCCAAAAAACATGATATTCATCTAGGGGCGCTGCAGATTTGTGGTTTTATTTAGGGCGTCGCATTGTAATATATATATGTTGTTTGTATATAGACTTCTTGTTGGACTGGAATAATAATTGTGTTACCACTCGATTTTAATATCTCCAGCCCCTATAGACAAACGACAAATGGATTTATCAATAGGTACGTTATCTCTACGTGTAAATGTGGTAAAGCGATACTGAAACAAACGTCTTTCGTTTTATCTCATTCGTTTAGTAATAAAAACGCATCTGTCAGTAGATAAGACCTCATCAGAGGAAGACTTTGTACAAAAGTCGTCTGCTTGGGCACCTCTGTCTCATTTGTATTTCTGCCGTGAAGCAGTTGTGTTTGTATGACTGTGTTTCGGTTTGAAGGATGGGATATGGCAGTGAATTTACAGGGTACAGATGAATTACACCTGAGTCCTCAGAAATGGCAACGCATGGGGGGTATCATGGGCGAAACAGTATAGTCTGTTGTGTCCATGGTAGTGCTCATGACTATAGGCGACAGTTACCACTTTCCATCAGGTGGGCCGTCAGCTTGTTTGCCATGTTAATTTGCATAAAAAAAATTCATTAGCCACTTGTCTAGAAGGTAGAATATTAAGGAGCTCAAGCGTATTTAGTTTTCTCTTCAGCCAGCAGCCAAAAAGGAAAACTGCAAACAAAAACATTTCAAAAACAGACATTTTTTCATACTAACTGTTCAATCTTGTGTTGAGACATATGAAAGTAACCGTATAATAGGTTAAAATCCTTATAGTTTTTACTAAGGTACTTGTTTCCAGCATGAAACGTTACTATGTTATGATTGTGGTGTGTGCAGGAGACGCGATCCCAGTTGGCAGTGTAGGACTAGCGGTGACGCAGAGCAACACGCTGACGATGATGCTGCAGCACGGCGCGCGCATGCTTGTGGAGTTCATTGCACAGCTGACCAGTGTTGAGCGTGTGCTCGAATACACTCGCATCGACACAGAGCCAAACCTCTTTCAAGGAAGTAAGTGCTATATTTAGAATAACGTTTTCAATTCAACTGTATTTTTTCTATGTTACTTTTTGTATGTACACTATGTACACTACATGTGACAGGTACACAGAGGCTATAAAAATACTATAGTTAGTATATAAAATATGGTATGATACTTCACACCAAAACAACTATTACAACTCTATAAAGCACAGGTTCAATCATCCATGAAACACTGCTGTCACCTTTGGGACGACTCTGCCAAGTAACACTTGGCTTCACTTGATTCTATTGAACACCTAGCCAAAAAGATCATAGAGAACAAAAATTGAAAATAAAGGTAAACAGGTAGACGGGCACCTGATGGAATGCCTATAGACATGAACAGCACCACGGACATTACAGATACATTGTGACTTCCATAGTGACCCTCACGCATGATAATGCATCCTAAGGATGTCAATTCCTGAGGAGTAATGATATAACATATAGTTATAAGACTCAAAGTATTAATGCCTTGTTATTCTATAATTATTTATTGCATGCATTTTTTTTTTTGTAGAAATAGAGACACCCCCACAATGGCCGTCGCATGGCAGGATTGAGTTTCAGAAAGTATTTTTGCGATACGCGCCAGACGAACCGCCGGTACTTAAAGACATGAACATTATTGTTGAAAGTGGATGGAAGGTAATTAATAGGTATTTTATTGTATTTTTGGTATGCACGCGTTCTTTGCTGATTCTAAATCAATTTTCAAACGACTTCACGAAGAAGGAGATTGTCTATTCCGTTGTATTTTTTTGTTTGTTACCTCATAACTCGAAAAAACAAATTTTCTGTAAGAATATACTTTTATATTAGTTCTATAGAAATTTCATCAAAAGTACGGTTCAGTAATCGCAACCGAAGTTGGTGTTTTTTTTTGTGGAACACAATTTTAAATTATAATAATTCTTTTTTTTTTTATTAAATAGTGTTGGTATTTTTATAAAATTAATATTTAAGTATGTACTGTATGGAATCCATTAAGGTCAATGATGAGGCAGCACCGAACCATGTAATTTCTGTTGTCTCTTGTCATTCCTATTTTTATATGAATAAATTTTACATCAAATAAGTAAATTAATTGACATCAATACGTTTAACTGCTACGACACTTTTACTTCTACTATTATACAATAAGAAGATAAGATGAAAATAATTAAGATTATGTATCATAAAAAATCCAACTTAAACTGTGGCAAGACCAGTTATTTGGATTTAAAAATAAACTGCTGAATTGATTTTGATAAAATTTCTATGGAAGCAATCTGTGAGTATATTCTTTCAGATAAAAAATAATTTTTATATTGGTTTGCAACTGATAGAGTTATAAAGTAACAAAAAATTAAAAAAATACAATTGAATTGAGAGCCTCCTTCTTTTTGAAATCGGTTGAAAGGGAACTCGGTAAACATCAAAAAGGAGATAAAAATAAAAATTGGGCTCACTAGTCCAATGGGATTACCGGAACGAAATACTGCCAGACGAGATAACTGGGACAATGCAGCTGGGATTGATCTCATTTTGGAAATAATTTTCAGGTGGGTATCGTCGGTAGGACAGGCGCTGGGAAGTCGTCATTAATATCGGCGTTATTTAGATTCGCTTACATTGACGGATTGATATCTATCGATGGTGTCGACACGTCTTTAATTGGAAGACAGGTAAGAACAAACTGGACAGTTTTTCATATAGTCGTTTTTGAAAATTTTAATATTATAATTAATATTATAAAAGCTTATAGTTACAACCTTTAAAACTATTTACTAGATGGGAGTGTGTAAATAATAACAGTAATAAAAAGAAATAGTTTAATTGTATTATTTTAATTTTATTAGCCCTTTTGTCAGAATTCACACTACAGTATATATTGCTTAATTTACAGGAACTTAGATCGAAAATTTCCATTATACCTCAAGAGCCGGTTCTGTTCTCTGCTACTATTAGGTACAATTTAGATCCTTTCAATATCTACAGCGACAATGACCTTTGGAAAGCGCTTGAACAGGTCAGTAATTCAATTATTTATGTACTTGAATTGTTGTAGTGTTTTATTTTTAAACAATTTCAAGAATAGCAAAACCTATTTGGCCTGTATTTTTTTTTTGTGTAAGTTACGGGATAATTTTCCCAGTACTTAATTTATTTTGTATTCGATAGGACCTACGCACGTGTTCGTTTTATACATATTTTCTTAGTATGTCAATTGTTGTGGAGGAAAATTTAGTTCTATAATATTATTTTTTAATATCATCGTCATATCAGCCATTGATTGTTTACTGTTGAACATAGGCTTAGGCAACCGCAGTTAACCGTTTGCATAACCGCAGGTATGCTGCTGCCCATCTCTCGATTATTAAGTTCTCTTAGTCGCTTTCTAGGACATCCACGGGAAAGGAAGGGATGGCCTATTCTATGCTGGGATTATATGGCAAATTTTTTACAAATTTTCATAATTTTAGGTGGATATGAAATCAGCGGTCCCATCTTTAGACTTTAAAGTGACTGAAGGTGGTTCAAACTTCTCCGTGGGGCAAAGGCAGCTGATGTGCTTAGCGCGTGCTGTGCTCAGGTCAAACAAAATACTTATTATGGATGAAGCCACTGCGAACGTGGATCCCCAGTGAGTATATTAATACTAATAATGTAAAAGATGCGTCTAGTGTTAAGATTTTTTATATCAAAAAAGTTAGTTACACGTTGAAAGAAGCTCGTATCTACTGTCAGACTAGTAAGAACTTATTAAAGCCTTGTTAAAAGCCTTGAAGACGCTTAGTGCAAAGAGGGGTTTTTAATGGATGAAAATAGAATAATAACTCCACCTTCTGAAGTAATTTCATGTTCCGTCTTCGTCTTACAAGCAACAAAATATACATACTTAAGTCACTTGACGGTTTATCGACTACTTGTCCTTCAAGTTTTATAGTTTGATTAAAAGGATACTAACAGTTTAGATTAACTCAAAACATTTATATATATATTTCACGGAAACATATCGATGGGTACTTTACATTTCATTTTTCTAAATAGATTCTAAAGATAAATTATATCTTTGCAGGACGGATAATTTCATTCAGGAGACGATCAGGCGACAGTTTTCATCATGTACAGTATTAACGATTGCGCACCGTTTGAACACGATCATGGATTCGGATCGCGTGCTTGTGATGAATTTCGGTCAGGTGGCCGAGTTTGATCACCCGTATATATTACTGTCTGATCCTAACAGCATGTTCTCGTCGATGGTTCGAGAGACCGGCGAGAAGAACAGCGCCCAGCTCTTCCAAGTCGCGAAAGAATCGTATTTCCAAAGTAATCTGAAAGAAAATGCCAGATAAAACATGTGATTTATATTATACTCGTAAATCTAATATAAGCATATTAGACATGAGAGACATGTTTGCATTATTTCCATTAAAAATAATAGACGATATTAGTAGAAAAGATTCAATATTATCTATCTACTAAATAAACTGTAATAATGGAAATTACGTTACTGAATAAGGACTGTATGAGTATTTAGATTAAGACTACTTTTAGGATGTATATTGTAAATAAACAATTTTGATACAACACGAACGAAATAAACCAATAAAACTGTTTTTAATTTACTGGATTTCACCAACTCAGTAGTCTCCTTCTCGGATACTGGCATCTGAACAATTTATAAGCAAGAAAAAATATGATCAGCACAAGTCCTAAAAACAGTCCATGAACTTTGTGATCATCAAAGAACACTTCCCATTTATCATCGGTACAGCCTTCACAACAACCCATTTTTCATTGAAACTCTCATTCTGAGTTAACCCATACTCATGTTTTTAGAGGTTTCTTTTGTTATTTAGTCATAATTTTTCTTAAGTACTTTTATTTTGAAAATTACAGTAAAATATATATAGGCAGCATTTGATAGAGGGCAATGACTGATGAGATGATACATTGACATTAAAACTCGATACCGACAACTCCAAGAAAGTCTGAAGAGGTTTTTTACGTCAAGTAAGTAAAGAGTTGTTATACCTACCTGTCTACTACGTCTATGGTTGTTATAGTAAAAAGCTAGGTATATTGTTGACATTTTGTAGCAATCGTCGGTTTGCAAACGACTGACATTTTGTAAAATGCCGAAGGTAAATTGTTGCAGTGCTTTTGATTGCTTACTTTTGGGATGATTCTTAGATACGTAGTGACCAAGGTCAAATGAAATAACTTATAAAAATATATATTATTATTACTTTTATGTGTAGTACATGATGTTGATTGATATTTTCTTTAGTTTTTTACATATGAGATAAAAGGAATCATAGAATTTGGTTCACAATTGATGAAAATCCTTTCCAAGATTATAAATGTGAAAGTGATTTTGTTTGTTTATTACCTTTTAACGTATTAATGGCTTAACGAACTACTATAAAATATATACCAACTATAAGGAATGAAGAAACACATAGGATTCTTTTTATACCGGGTAGTCGACTATCTCGGTTTTTTTTTTGCTGGGTGAAAATGGTATGGTAACCCCGCCTGCGCTAACGGGATACGCTGGCGGAGCACCAGTGAAGGGTGATAGATGAGAATGAAAACAAGCCAGTTAGCCCATCATGATGAATTCATCAGGAATTAACCATGATAGTTTCCAGGGAGAACCGCGAGGAGGTCGACCTGGTTGGGTATATTGCTAGCAATGGGATTCTCAGTCTCCATTACTAACAATTCCTTTCCCCCCGACTATCTCGGTAACACGGACGAATGCGCAGAATAAAGCTAGTATCATAAAAACTGAAAATAAATTTTAAAACATTGTTGAATTGAGAAAATTTTACTTTCACATATCAAAAATAAAATATTTACACCGAATTACAATCAAAATTACATTCTTACACCTTCTCTATCAAATACTACGGTTAGGTGTTACGGCATGGCATATTTCTACGTTGTCCATGGTGTTTTTTATATTTATAGACTTCGGTTATTACCTTCCGTTCTATTTTATTTTATTCAAAAGATTATAATACCTGCAGTGCAAAAATAATATCATACAGATTAAAATAACAGGTATAGGTATTGTTTTTTGTTGGAATAAAGCATGACATAACAATTTTCACCAGCAATTTTATCCGCGTGTCTTGATGCTTTGATTGAACAGAATGAAAAGGTTTTTTCATTCCGATGCTACGTGTATATCTCAAGACGATTGTTTGAGCCACTAAAATGTCAAGAGGCATTAACAGACAAACTTATTTTCACATTTATAATAATTGTAAAAAACAAATATATTTCTAAATAGTACATAAAATAAAGGCTTAAAACCTGTTAGGTAATATTGGAAATGACATCGGGTGAAGAGTATTATGGATATTACATTATATTTTGTGATATCTGTGATGCTATTCATATCTGCAGTCGACAGTTACCATTTGTTATTGTAAATCTTATAAAATATCGCCAGAAATATCAGAAACCAGAAGTTTCGGACTTCAAAAACTTGCTCACTACTTCCCACTTCAAGTTTACTGTGACCCTATCTTTTGCGGCAAGAATTTGTTATTTCTCAGCATTAGGATTTTCATTTTTATACATGATATACTTCTTTTTACTGATACTGGTTTACCGCTCTAAAATGTTATTAAGTATTTTTAATTGGGTCCGTTTGTTCGTGTATTTATACAGTTCTATCTATCTGTACACAACTCTCGCTAAGTTAATTCTGGCTCTCTGGCCGCCTGAGAGGAAAACACCACGATCACCGGCTAAGGACGAACCCCCCTATGGAAACTATTTGAAGTCTGGCAACAGTGAGCAAACTCGGCACACCTGAAATATATAACAAAAAAATACATAGTTATTACTAGTTCTATTAATAATTTCTATTCTATTAATTATTTTTTAATTTATTAGGTATTTAAGTATATTATTGACTTCTGATTTATACACGAGTAATTATAAGATATTGAATACTTTATAATATTTGTTTATTTTAAAATAATTATTAATATCAGTAAACTTCTGTGGTATTTCATGCAACTTAGAACGGTGAATAAACTTATGGCCTACCAGATGAAAAATGGTAACTGTCGCCAATGAATATGTATAGAATTATGGTGGAGCTCATACTTGTAATACCCTTTACGTGTCTATTTATGAGGAATATGGTGTTATGCCTCTGTACCTTGTTATTGGTATATTCTATTCTTCAAATCAAAACATTGTTATGTATGTACGTCTGCTTCAACGCATAAATACGAGTGGGTCAGAGAAGTGTTTATAGAGAAGTATTGTTTTGTTTCCTAATGATACATCCAAGTTAGTGCGTTTACACAAATATTATCATTATATAATACTCGTAGTACAAACTACTACGAGAAATTATCACAGTATCTGGGGTCAAATGGTTCACGAACTATAGTCGATTAAAATAATCAGTAATGAAACAGTGTAGTTTAAAAACAAAAAGTACACACACACACACACACATACACACACACACACACACACACACACACACACACAGAGAGAGAGAGAGAGAGAGAGAGAGAGAGATTATAGAATTTTGCAGAAAAAGTCTTTGTTTCTTGTATTATATTATTTTGATTTACGAGAGAAATTATCGTTTTTGGTGTAGCCACAGAATTTTTTTTGCTGGACCAGTTTTTATTTAATATTCTTACTCGATTACAAATTTGTTTGATTAATATTACTTTACTATTATGAGTAAGAAAAATTGTCTTTCATGCAATGTTCCGTTTTTGTATCAGGTAAGTATTTATATGAAAGTATTCATAAATATTTCTACAATAGTTACGCTAAATGCTTAAGGTAACGTTTGAGTGTAAATAATTCACTTCATGTTGGAATTTAGACCATTATAATTTCCGATATTCGTTTACGTAAAATTAAGAAGATAACTCTCGTTGTATCTCGGATCTGATAAACATTATACGACATATAAAAAGGACTTGTCCAGGCTAAGTAATTTGTTCACAGACCATCTAAACGACTGGGATGGGAACAAGAACGATAAAAATATTTACAGCTATATTTAATAATTACGTATATATAGGTTTCTTTTATAATGTGGTCATCAGAAATTATTTTTAAAACAACGTATTCAGCGCAAAACAAAGTAATAGAAGCATACCTCTTTATATTTCTCAGGGTTAACTTGTGTTCAGAGGAATTGTTCAATATGATGCCCACGGCCATTTTCTACCATCGTACGACTCGACATTGACAGGGAGTTAACTCTCATAACCAAATGGTTGCGTTCGGTTCTTCCAAAGGGGGGTAAAGAGGTTTTTTCAGGGTCGGCGACGCGCGCGTAATGCCCCTGGTGTTGCAAGCGTTCATAGGCAACATTAACCGCTTATCATCAGGTGGGCCGTATGCTTGTTTGCCACCTCAGTGATATAAAAAAACTGTAATGGTGCCCGATCTTAACGGCATCTCTTTTAATAATAATTGTAAAAGTGAGGTCTGAAAAGTTAAATCAATGTAGATGAATTTGCGTAGAAATATAATGCCAGGACCGTTGGTACTATCTTGAATTTATGAGAATTTGCAATATTTATTGTTGTATAAACATGTTAGTTTAATGAATAAAATACTTCTAATTTCTGCATAATGTAGACGATAAACCTTCAGGTTTCAATCGGTTAAGTTTTTAGGAGATTTTTATTTGAATAATAAAAAAATATATATATATTTGTTTTGTAACAATACAGATCAATAGTTTTTGAAGTGAGTTTAGAAGTGAGTATGCACGCCACGTTGTATAGTTTACAATCCCATTCAGCTAGCCCTCTACCACAACACGGATTACACGATATGATAATTTCAATAATCTTATATATATATATATTACACGATGAAAACGATGCGAATTGGCATCCATCAGAGTGATTGCACTGCAACCACATTTTTTCTCGCGTAACTGATTGCGTTTCGTGGAATGCGCACGTATCCGACTGCATTCCGCGAAAAGCGCACTTCACTGACTGCCTTCCATAGAATACGCGAGCCGGTTGGATTGTCAAAGTGATAAATGAATAGAAAGTTGTACAAGTTCTATGGAAATATAAACTTTAAATAAATTTGAAAGAATAATTTGAACATTATATTATTTCCTAAGATTATTGAAATTATCATATCGTGTAATCCGTGTTGTGGTAGAGGGCTAGCTGAATGGGATTGTAAACTATACAACGTGGCGTGCATACTCACTTCTAAACTCACTTCAAAAACTATTGATCTGTATTGTTACAAAACAAATATATATATATTTTTTTATTATTCAAATAAAAATCTCCTAAAAACTTAACCGATTGAAACCTGAAGGTTTATCGTCTACATTATGCAGAAATTAGAAGTATTTTATTCATTAAACTAACATGTTTATACAACAATAAATATTGCAAATTCTCATAAATTCAAGATAGTACCAACGGTCCTGGCATTATATTTCTACGCAAATTCATCTACATTGATTTAACTTTTCAGACCTCACTTTTACAATTATTATTAAAAGAGATGCCGTTAAGATCGGGCACCATTACAGTTTTTTTATATCACTGAGGTGGCAAACAAGCATACGGCCCACCTGATGATAAGCGGTTAATGTTGCCTATGAACGCTTGCAACACCAGGGGCATTACGCGCGCGTCGCCGACCCTGAAAAAACCTCTTTACCCCCCTTTGGAAGAACCGAACGCAACCATTTGGTTATGAGAGTTAACTCCCTGTCAATGTCGAGTCGTACGATGGTAGAAAATGGCCGTGGGCATCATATTGAACAATTCCTCTGAACACAAGTTAACCCTGAGAAATATAAAGAGGTATGCTTCTATTACTTTGTTTTGCGCTGAATACGTTGTTTTAAAAATAATTTCTGATGACCACATTATAAAAGAAACCTATATATACGTAATTATTAAATATAGCTGTAAATATTTTTATCGTTCTTGTTCCCATCCCAGTCGTTTAGATGGTCTGTGAACAAATTACTTAGCCTGGACAAGTCCTTTTTATATGTCGTATAATGTTTATCAGATCCGAGATACAACGAGAGTTATCTTCTTAATTTTACGTAAACGAATATCGGAAATTATAATGGTCTAAATTCCAACATGAAGTGAATTATTTACACTCAAACGTTACCTTAAGCATTTAGCGTAACTATTGTAGAAATATTTATGAATACTTTCATATAAATACTTACCTGATACAAAAACGGAACATTGCATGAAAGACAATTTTTCTTACTCATAATAGTAAAGTAATATTAATCAAACAAATTTGTAATCGAGTAAGAATATTAAATAAAAACTGGTCCAGCAAAAAAAATTCTGTGGCTACACCAAAAACGATAATTTCTCTCGTAAATCAAAATAATATAATACAAGAAACAAAGACTTTTTCTGCAAAATTCTATAATCTCTCTCTCTCTCTCTCTCTCTCTCTCTCTGTGTGTGTGTGTGTGTGTGTGTGTGTGTGTGTGTGTGTGTGTGTGTGTGTGTGTGTGTGTACTTTTTGTTTTTAAACTACACTGTTTCATTACTGATTATTTTAATCGACTATAGTTCGTGAACCATTTGACCCCAGATACTCGTGATAATTTCTCGTAGTAGTTTGTACTACGAGTATTATATAATGATAATATTTGTGTAAACGCACTAACTTGGATGTATCATTAGGAAACAAAACAATACTTCTCTATAAACACTTCTCTGACCCTGAACAAAAATAAAGTCGAATCTTGATCTTGAATGTGTTTATTAATTTTGTACAAGAACGTCACAATCGAAAGTGTCAGATAAAAACATTATTTTTCTTTTTTTGTATAAAGGGTCAGCAAAGAGTTCATATAACAATTATTAATTAAACATTCCGCCACCCAAGGACTACTATAGTCCTTCACAATATGTTAACATGTAACACAAAGTGAGATGATAGAAATCAAATTACTACATAACTGTTAGAAAAAATTAACAAATTTTAGTTATTCAGTGGCAGAGGGCACAACTTAGCTACAAGTCTTAAAGAAATTGTTAGCTTAACATTAGAATATATTTAGACCATTTGTACTGGACACTAGAGAGTATGATATATTTGCTACAGTTCGTTGTTTAAAACATGATATACATTTATTTACAGTAATTGTAACAAGATCTTTTAAACGAATAATCCAGTACCTCTGTCTGACGTAATTTAAGGTAAGTTGCAAGTCACCATGCAAAGATTTAATATGTGCATCAGAAACAATTAGTTTACATAAATGACATTTATTACTTAAAATAATAGGAGACTTTAGATAGTTCGAAACCTCTGCATTAACTAGTCTGCCCCTACTAATAGTATCTTTTGTTCATCAAGATACGGATTAAGTGTATATAAAACTTACTTCTTTTGTGAATTTGCTTGTTGTGAGTTAAAGTTTCAATCTCATCTTTAAAATAGCTTGTGATCAACGAGTACATACAAGCAAAACAATTTTTATTTCAGAAGCAGTTAAATAACAATTACAATCCCTTCTAATTGAATTAATTTTGTTTTTACAGCATTGAATAAATGGTTTAAATATTTGTTTATGTAGTCAGTAATATCATTATTTTCAGTGATACAAATGTGAACTTTAACTTTTGTTTTAACTTCTAAGTCTGTTTCAGGAATATCTATATCATTATTTACAATATCATCGGGTTGACTTAGAAAATCAGGGCCGTTCTACCATAGTTTTGACTGTCTCAAATCATTCGGATTTAAACCTCGTAAGCTTAAATTTGCTGGATTATTAAAAGTATCAATATAACGACATTGACTACTATTTGCGATAGTTAAAATTTCTGCTGTTCGATTAGCAACAAATGTTGTCCAAGTACCAGGTGTTTTGCGTAACCACGCCAAAACTATAGTAGAATCAGTCCAAGCGAACACACAATTATTTTGTATTTTCAAAACAGTTTTAAGACTGCTCAACATCTTGGCTAATAAAACAGCACCACAAAGTTCAAGTCGTGGCAACGTGATTTGTTTTACTGGAGCTACACGTGTTTTTGCAAAAACTAAATGAACATTAACGTTTTTGCCATTCCAAACCCTGATATAGACAACAGCAGCATAAGCAGCACAAGATGCATCGCTAAAGCCATGTAATTCTACTCTAGTAGTAGTATTTAAAATACTGAGCCATCTTGGAAAGGGAATGATTTGCATGTGAGAAAATTTATCTAGGTAAGTGAACCATTCAGTTTTTAATTCTAGTGGTAGCTCCTCGTCCCAATCCAATCCAGCTAGCCATAATTTCTGCATGAATATTTTAAGAACAATAATAGAAGGTGCTAACCAACCAAGAGGATCAAAGGACTTAGTTATCGCAGAAAGAACAGTTCGTTTAGTGACATTGTGGGATTTAAATTCTAAATTTAATGTAAGTTCAAAGTTGTCAGTTTGTGAATTCCATATAATACCTAAAGCTTTAATAGTGTCTTCTACTTTAATAGTGACTGTACTTAAAGAATCTCTTTTGTCGTTCGAAATTTGATTCAATACTAGTTTACTATTAGACGACCATTTGTGCAAAGGAAAGCCACCTCGAGCTAATAATTCAGTTAACCGATTTTGAAGAAATATTGCACTTTCCTCTGTTGACGTACCTGTTAACAAATCGTCCATGTAGAAGTCTTCCTTCACAATTTCAGCTTCTCTAGGAAACTCACCACATTCATCTTCAGCAAGTTGGTGCAATGTACGGATAGCTAAAAAAGGAGCACAAGACGTACCATAGGTTACGGTAAGTAATCTGTACTCTTGAATAGGATCATTGAGAGATTCACGCCATACGATTCTTTGTAGATCTATATCTTTTTTAGATACAAGTATCTGTCGATACATCTTCTGTATATCTGCAACTAAACATATTTTGTGTTGTCTCCATCTAGTAATTAAGTATCGAATATCTTGAAGAAGAGGAGGACCGATTAACAGTTCATCATTTAATGATTTTCCATTTGCAGGTACAGCACTACCATCAAAGACTACGCGCAACTTTGTACTCAAGCTCGACGGCCTAAGGACAGCATGGTGAGGTAAGTAATATATATTTTTATTATTAGTATTAAGTTCATTTTCAGGTATCATCTCCATATGTTCGTGTGACAGGTATTCATCCATAAAATTAGTATACTGATTTTTAAATTCAGGTTTGTGTAAAAATCTCTTCTCCATCTGTTGCAGACGATTAACAGCCAAGGTTTTTGAATCACCAAGACTTGTGGAAGGAAATTCTTTAAATGGTAAACGAACTACGTATCGACCATCATCATTACGTGTGTAAGTATTTTTATAGTGTTCCTCGCATTGTATTTCTGATGCGGACATAGGTTTTTTGTGGGGAACGTGCTCTTCGATCTCCCAAAACTGCCTAAGTAACTGATCCACCTCCAATTTATTATGGGCTACAACCATATTGTGTATTTGTGTAACAGTTTGTGAAACGCTTCCAGCCAGCAACCAACCCAGGCGAGAGTTAAGAGCAACGAGAGTGTTGTGTTTATGTATTCCATCGAGAATTATGTGAGCATGCACGTCGGCACCCAATAAAACATCTATAGGACTCGGCTTGTGAAAATCAGGATCAGCTACATCTAATTGCATTGATGAAGGCCAAGTACCTTGTGGAAATTCTCGAGACGGTAGTATTGAAGTTAGTTTTCTAAGTACATAAGCGTTAACTTCAATACGTGAAAGTGATGGGTTTTTACAATGAATTGTGAGTGTTACTATAGACTTCGTAGTAACTTCTTGTGAGTTGGATATTCCAGTGATTTTACCAATTACAGGTGTGCGATCAAGATTCAACAGTTGTACAGCTGCTTCAGTAACAAAAGAAGCCTGAGAGCCCTGGTCTACAAGTGCCCTGAGAACGTAAGTAGAGCCATTGTTTGCCTTTACTTTAATTTGAGCAGTAGGTAAAATAATTTGTTTATTATTTGTTTCAGGTTTCGTGTTAGCAGTATGACAAGACGTAGAGGGACTCTGTACTGACTCATTTCTCTCAGTTGTAATCTCTGGTTTGTTAAGAGTTGTTAAATGCAGCAAAGTGTGATGACGTCGTCCGCATTTCTTACAGGTTGTGCTTTGCCGACATTGTTTCACAGAATGACCCTTAATCAAACAGTTGAAGCAGATGTTGTTCGTTTTTATAAAATGTTGACGTTCTGATACGGTAAGTGTAGTAAATTTCTTACAATGACAAATGTAATGGTTCTGTGAACAATATGTGCAAGTACTATTTACTTCAGTAACGTAAGTTTTGACAGATGTAAATTTTTGTGGTGTGTATATCTTCTTTGACAATTCTTTAACTTGAGTTGAACTAATCATTTCTAGTATTCTGAATCTATTCTCCAAGAAAGAAGCTAAATCGGCATAAGTAGGAATCTCAGTAGAATTACCAAGAGACTGCTCCCAAAGTTTATGTGATTCGGAGTCTAACTTTCCGACAATGACATATACTAAAATAGCATCCCAGTTAGAAATACATATGTTGAGATTTTTCAACGAGTCAAGACATTGACTAGTAGTGTCTAATAATTCTTTGAGACCTTTAGTTGATTCGCCAGCTAACTTCTTTTGACTTAATAAGCGATTCAGTATGTTGTTGACAATAATCCTCTTGTTGTCGTATCTTTCTTCCAGCTTTTTCCATGCATCGAGATAATTAGCTTCGGTAAGTGTAAAATTCTTTAATAATTCTGCTGCTACCCCAGTTAAACTAGATTTAAGATAATGATGCTTTTCAATTTTAGATAAACTGTTATTGTTATGTATTAATGAAATATATAAATCTCGGTAGCTAATCCAATCATTATAATCACCAGAAAATACTGGAAGGGGTATCGGAGGAAGATGTGGTCTCGAGTGTGAAGATGATGCGATGGTGATGGTGTTATTATCATCAGTTTGAATTGATTTTGTTTCATGTTCATATAACCAATCTTTTATCCAGGTCTTGAGATCTAAGTAAGCCTCTTCAGTAGAGTTATAATTTTCCTCTAGATCGAGATTACATGATTTAAAATTCGACTCTGAATATGTAGTTGTAATATACTCATATTGTTTATTATATGATGACCAGTACTCACATAACATCTCTAAACGTGCATCCAAATATCCTCTTGTAATCTTAGCTCGAACGCACTTCTTCGTGTTAGTTAGTAATTTCACAATTTTATTTGAATTGTCCAACAACATTGTAATACGTGAACTAATATTTTCTGTCATTGTGATATGCAAACAACAAAGTCCGATATATATATGTGAAAAAAGTATTGTACACTGAAGTTGTGAATATTTATGCGTTTAGTACTGCACTATATTTATTTACTAAATTATGCGGCTATCGAAGGACCAAATGAACAAAAATAAAGTCGAATCTTGATCTTGAATGTGTTTATTAATTTTGTACAAGAACGTCACAATCGAAAGTGTCAGATAAAAACATTATTTTTCTTTTTTTGTATAAAGGGTCAGCAAAGAGTTCATATAACAATTATTAATTAAACAGACCCACTCGTATTTATGCGTTGAAGCAGACGTACATACATAACAATGTTTTGATTTGAAGAATAGAATATACCAATAACAAGGTACAGAGGCATAACACCATATTCCTCATAAATAGACACGTAAAGGGTATTACAAGTATGAGCTCCACCATAATTCTATACATATTCATTGGCGACAGTTACCATTTTTCATCTGGTAGGCCATAAGTTTATTCACCGTTCTAAGTTGCATGAAATACCACAGAAGTTTACTGATATTAATAATTATTTTAAAATAAACAAATATTATAAAGTATTCAATATCTTATAATTACTCGTGTATAAATCAGAAGTCAATAATATACTTAAATACCTAATAAATTAAAAAATAATTAATAGAATAGAAATTATTAATAGAACTAGTAATAACTATGTATTTTTTTGTTATATATTTCAGGTGTGCCGAGTTTGCTCACTGTTGCCAGACTTCAAATAGTTTCCATAGGGGGGTTCGTCCTTAGCCGGTGATCGTGGTGTTTTCCTCTCAGGCGGCCAGAGAGCCAGAATTAACTTAGCGAGAGTTGTGTACAGATAGATAGAACTGTATAAATACACGAACAAACGGACCCAATTAAAAATACTTAATAACATTTTAGAGCGGTAAACCAGTATCAGTAAAAAGAAGTATATCATGTATAAAAATGAAAATCCTAATGCTAAGAAATAACAAATTCTTGCCGCAAAAGATAGGGTCACAGTAAACTTGAAGTGGGAAGTAGTGAGCAAGTTTTTGAAGTCCGAAACTTCTGGTTTCTGATATTTCTGGCGATATTTTATAAGATTTACAATAACAAATGGTAACTGTCGACTGCAGATATGAATAGCATCACAGATATCACAAAATATAATGTAATATCCATAATACTCTTCACCCGATGTCATTTCCAATATTACCTAACAGGTTTTAAGCCTTTATTTTATGTACTATTTAGAAATATATTTGTTTTTTACAATTATTATAAATGTGAAAATAAGTTTGTCTGTTAATGCCTCTTGACATTTTAGTGGCTCAAACAATCGTCTTGAGATATACACGTAGCATCGGAATGAAAAAACCTTTTCATTCTGTTCAATCAAAGCATCAAGACACGCGGATAAAATTGCTGGTGAAAATTGTTATGTCATGCTTTATTCCAACAAAAAACAATACCTATACCTGTTATTTTAATCTGTATGATATTATTTTTGCACTGCAGGTATTATAATCTTTTGAATAAAATAAAATAGAACGGAAGGTAATAACCGAAGTCTATAAATATAAAAAACACCATGGACAACGTAGAAATATGCCATGCCGTAACACCTAACCGTAGTATTTGATAGAGAAGGTGTAAGAATGTAATTTTGATTGTAATTCTATATATATATATATATATATATATATATATATATATATATATATATATATATATATATATATATATATATATTGGTATACATGTATGCATTAAGCTTTTATATTTAATTTAGTGTATACTTTACGATGAGGCAGAAAGTGTAAACATAAATGACCTTACTACTACCATAGGGAAGATCAAAACAATAATAACAGAGAATAACTCAATGAAGTGCGCGTATCCAGCTCTTTTATACAGCAAGTACAAGACTACAGAGGTCTGTATGGGGATCAACCACAAGTAGTAGAGAAACATCAATTCATAGTCGAATTTTGCCAAGTCATTGGAAAGCAAGTTGTCTAATTTCCTATCAGTTACTTCATCTTGGGTAACGTGACTCATACGTAGAACCTATAGTTACAGATATTGCATAATATTTAATTTTTTCATTTATATTATATAAAACTAGTGATTTGGTTGGGCTTCGCATGGGTACATAGAATTTTCGAAACTGATAGTATTTTCGGAAATTCTATCTATCTATTAGCTGTTCGTGTCTTGTTGTATGTATGTCTGGCTGCTTATGTATTTATTATCCATTATCTTTTGTTATCGTGAGAATTTCGGAAAATCCATTTCAGTGCTCACCTGCGTTATATAATTTCTTGTTACTGTCACTCAGTATTGAGAGTTTAAGCGCATACTTAGATAAAATAAAGATGCGGTATTAGCGTTCTATCGCGATTTGACATAATCTTGGCCACTGTTATATACAAGTACTTACTGTTTTATTATCTACAATATATTAGGGTACATATATTTGCAGATTTTCAGATAAAAATGTTGATACATCATGGTACTATCGTTCCATTTAACGGTTAGTGATTACTGTCTACTTATTTAAATGATTGGGGTTGGACATTTGTATGGTTGTTATTCTATGGATTCACGCATATAAGAGGGAGCTTTAATTACCATAAGCGTAACCAACACCCGGGTCTTCCCCATAAAAGAATATTAGGCCATTATTAATATGCTGATCAGGCGGCTTGCACATGAGGTTTTAATTCGGCTTTTCTTTCTAAGCTTGTTCCTTTGTTTCTTATATTTTAGATTTAAATAAAACCGTTTAAAAAGAGTGGTAATACTTGTATTCTTATATCACAATTAGATATCTTTAGTATAATATTACATACCACCATTACATGCCCAATTAACTCATAAGTACATTTTACCGAAATGACCATAAATATTTACAAGCAATGAGAATAAGCACAAATATGTGAGAAATGACTTATCTACCTACATAATCATTTCTAGCAGAATCTAATTTGATTACGAAGAATAAGAATAATATAGTACTTACTTTTATGTAATCTAGATAAAAAGTAGCGTATGTCCTTCGTAAAATGTCTTTAAGATTGATTCTAGCCGATAAGGTGCTAATACAATCAAATAATGAAATCAGTATTCATATTTACAACACTAAAGTTTGGCCAAATTTATGTGACATAAAATGAAAAAGGCTTTTAATTTAATTTTTTTTATGCAATTTAAAATAGCAAATAAGCTGACGACCAACCTGAGGGAAAGTCAAATTGTTTTTGGTGGAAAGTGGTAACCATCGCCTAAAGACATGAACAGTACGTAAATAGACATAATTTAGTAATATATTTTTATTTAAACTGCTTTTTTTTATATAGTATAAAAAAGAAATGGCAATAAAATTTACCGATTTCAATTAAAAGCCCCTAATTTGTTAGGAATATTATTATTATTACGTGCTATAAATTATATAGAGTAAAATGAGTATATGCAATTATTTAACGAAGTTTATAATATTATAAAATAACACAATAACAGAAGAAAACGAAAGTGTCAAGTTTTATATATATGAGTTATTTTTGACTACATCATTCATATGAGTATGAATCAACATTATGGGTTTTATTTATTTATTTACACTTTATTGCACCAAGTAAAAAGAGAATTAATAAAACTATTTCCTTGGATGCTGATGTGAAGATAATACATATAGACAAAGTAATATATATAAATATATGATTAGAATAAAATTGTAAGGTTAATATGGCGACCACTTGAAAGTTCAAAGGTCGAAGGGTCGAGGGTCAGTATTTGGACGTCAAAGGTATTAAAAATAAAAAGGTCAATTTCTGTATCAAAAATATGTCCGGCTTTTTTTTGCTCTTCGTTTTTATTATTTGTTTTGTCTATTGCTCTATGGATCAGTTTCACGTGTTAGGATTTCCTAACATTTGAAATATGAACCACTGGGTTCATATATTGAATAAATAAAATAATCTACCAGAGGGAAACTGTACAAAAATCGTTTACTTGAGCACCTCTGTCCCATTCGTGTTTCTACCGTGAAGCAGTTATAATTCATGGTTGTGTTTCGATTTGAATGGTGGGATATGGCAGTGAATCTACAAGGTACAAAGGAATAACACTTGAGTCCTAAGGAATAGCAATCATGGGGAGTATCATGAGCAATACGGTATACTCTATTATGTCCATGGTGCTGCTCATGTCTATAGGCGACGGTAACCACTTTCCATCAGGTGGGCCATTAACTTGTTTGCCATTCTATGTTGCATAAAAACACATTCCGAGTTTATCTTCGTATCTTTTTGAATCGTATTGCTTATTGGGAACAATAAAATTCTTTTTTTTAACATCTCCCTTGTTTCCCTTTAAAAGTACTACATATTCAACATATGAATATTCTTGATATGATATTCGATTTATTTCTTTTTTTTTTTGAGTTCCATCAGGATCAATATTGTATTTATTGTTACGTTTTATATTATTTTCCATATAAAAATGTATTACGATGATATGCTTTAAAGTTTGAAATTATTAATACTTGTGCATATTTTTAATCTATTACTCATGAAATTTGTGAAAATCGTAGAAAATTAGAACGTTCTGCACGAGACACGAATAAATAATGACCGTTCAATTAAACATTTAACTTATAAGAATATTTATTTTTACTTATATACTGATATCATATCAGTGACGATTTATATTTAATCTATTAATATATTTAATTATTGTGTCATCAGTACCTACATTCAATATGTTGATAAGTATCGTATAAAATATAGTGATATGTCGAAACAAATTTTAATAAATGAGGTATGTGGATATTTCAGAGTTGTTTCCTGATAGGACCAATGTTTATTTATTTATTTATACCTGCTCAAAATAAGGAATTCATAGTATAATTAGCAGAAAGTTTTAAAACGCGATCAGTGTTAGTAGTTGATACTACAATATGTAGGGACAGTATATTTAATATATTGTGAATATTAATGAAATGTAATAATTAGTTTTTGCTTATATATATATATATATATATATATATATATATATATATATATATATATATATATAGTGATATTATTACCATATATTATTTAATAGATTGATAATAATAATTATTACTGACCTATCAAAATTGTTTGTGCCTGATTAAATTAATTAAAAATGTTCTTGTTTTTTTGTAATTACCAAAGTCTACTGCGAAACAGACATTCTCACACGGATATTTAAAGTTTTATATTATACAACACAGGCACTAGCAGAATTCAGTTTGTTCACGGTTTATTTTCAACCGACTTTAAAAAAAGGAGGAGGTTCACCATTCAGTGGAATTTTATATATTTTTTAACACATAACTCAGTCAGTTATAAACCGATTCGGAATATTTTTTTACGGTTTAAGATATTTATTTCTCAAAGAATACAAATATTCACTTCAATGAGATTATAGCTAACAAAACTAATTACATCATATTATAGCCGGGAGCATACAAATGGCGGTATTTTATCTGAAAGGATATACTTTCAGATTGGTCTCTTAGTAGAAATTTATAAAAATCGCTTCACTAGTTTAGTTATAAAATAAAATATAACTGATTTTACCACAATTAAGGTCTTTTTTTTGTGTAACAATCTTAAATTATAGACAAATAAATTAATAAGTCTTTATATATAGATATATTTTATTAAAGTAATTTTAAGTACATATAATATTTTATACACTATATTCTTAGTCTATTACTATAAAACAAAATATTATTAATTTAAATATTACTAAACCACTGAATTCAGTTCTTTTAAGTAACAAACTCATTCGATATGTAAGAGAAAATATTTACTTAAATAAATAGTATTTAATATGTAGGATAATGAGATAATTAATTTGATCGTTCATCTATAGATATATGTGACATATTTTAAATTCAAGTATAGAAATTTATACTACATTATTTTAAGGCTTCAATGTTCGATATAAATAAATAATAAGAAACAACAATAGTTTTAAATAAATTGTATAAGAATCTAATGAGTTACAGAGGCATTTAATTAAGTCAGTAATAAGTTATGTTCTATAATCACAGACTTTTATTTTTTAACTAGTGATCCGGCCCAGTTACACATGGATAGATAGAATTTTAGAAAATAATAGCCTCTAAAATCTAATATAGACTTTAAAATCGATTGAGTTTTTTAAATTTATCCATTACAAAAAATCAAATCTCTTTATAATATTAGTATATATTTAATAACAATTATAGTAAAAAAGTGGTGTATAAAATCTTATGAAAAACTTATTTTTTCTTAGTATCTTTTGAAAAACTAATTTTTTCTTAGATATATTTGCTAAATAAATAAGAGGTGGAGAATAAGGATTCCGGTTATTCTCGGAACTTATTAAGTATGTTCTACAACACGTAAACTGGTTTACAATTAAATGAAATTGTATGGCTCGGATTAAATGACTTTCCTTACCTTACTTCTATTCATATTCTAAATTATGTACAAATATTGATCTAAAACTACTCGTAAATGTAATTTATCGTTTAAGATTGTCGTTGTCGTATTTCAATTTGGCTATTTCATACAGTACTTTGCTCATGCTCTCGCTGGTCTCTTTGACCATTAAATTGAAAGTGCTGTTGGGGTTGGAGAGCAGAATGTAAGGATAATCGAACTCCACCGCGAGTCCTTTGTCCATCACGAGCACGCGGTCTGAGTCCATGATCGTGTTGAGACGGTGCGCGATCGTGATCACTGTGCAGCTTGTGAACACGTTGCGAATTGTCTTCTGAATCAGGGCATCAGTTCTACGCAAATAATATACAACACATATATTTATTGACTACATTTTTAAAAATACAGAAAACTGCTATAAACGTTGTAACAGTTTTTATTATTATTATTTTTTTTATATTAGATTGAAGAAAAATTTTATAATCATAGCAATAAGACCGCCTTACTGTACTTATACAATTGTATCGTTGCGTTTGTAAATTGCCTTGCTTATTTCCTATATTGTATAATGCAAATAAAGTATACTCATTCATTCATTCATTTATAATTTTTGTCTTTAATCTCGTACAATTTTGTAAAAAAATTCATACTAGCAAAAAACATTGTAATTTTTTGTGTTATAAATCATTCAGTAAAAGATGGCGTATTATTTGTTGCTTCACATTCATAATAATAAAAATCATTCTCTATTTTGCAAATTTACTTTAAATTATCTTTAATTACAAAAACATCAACAATAAGTCTCGATTCTAGAGTCATCTAGTATTTCTTGTTTACTTTTGTGACCCACCACCTCAATCTATTAAATAATTTAATCTAGTTTTTGAGTAACTTTTTTATAAAATTGAATTTGATGTTTAACTAAAATTATAAAAGGGATTTGAAATTATAACTATTAGTTAATACAGAGTTTTCAAATGTAATATTTGAAATCTGGCACATTTTAAACTGAGGATTTTTTTTAGTAATTGATGAATACTACTAATACTTAATACTTACTGCGGGTCAACATTGGCAGTAGCCTCATCCATGACGAGCACTTTATTGGAGCGCAGAACAGCACGCGCCAGGCAGATGAGCTGCCGCTGGCCCATGGAGAAGTTGCTTCCGCCTTCCGACACTTTATAGTCCAGGGCTGGCACGGCTTCCTTTAGTTCCACCTAATACCATGCGAATAGTACATGTAATTATTATCAATTACCAATAAATATTGAGAATATAAATGATAGATCATTTTAAATGTGTACTTGTTTAAAAGTTTTTAGTTAATAAAATGCATTCTGCGGTATTCATCAACGTACCAGCTCGAGCGCTCTCCAAATCTCATCATCGCTGTAATTTTCGAAGGGATCTAAATTGTATCGTATTGTTGCAGAAAACAAAACCGGCTCTTGAGGTATTATAGATATCTTCGATCTTAAGTCCTGCAAAACATATTGATCTTGTGTATTAATGTATAAATAAAAACGATATTTTAGAACCTACGCCTTTGATATGGAAGAATTAATGATATTGACGATAAAATATATCTTGTTCAGAATACATCTTTCACATTGTTACCTTCTTAGCAATTGTTCCTGTATCTACTCCATCAATTTTAATGCTGCCATCGATGTCACAGAGGCGAAAGAGTGCTGATATAAGAGAAGATTTTCCGGCTCCCGTCCGTCCTACGACACCCACCTGAATAAACACATTCGATATAATATATATGGATAGATACTTGAATAGAAGATTATGATTTCTTTTTATTGGTAGGGAAGTAAACGAGTTGACGAGCCACCTTACAGTAGCTATTCTTGCCTGTGAACATAAAACATAAAGAAGATTGCTTCTGCGTTGCAGATTATTACTTTGTTATGTTTAAGATTTTTTTTTTATTCACTCTGATTCGATACATATAGCATGATTCAAGTATACACATAGATCTCACACAATGTGATGGCTTAACAACTAGAATATATGATAAAGATGGACTAATAATTAGCTCTGGGTGGTGTTTATAGGTGTTCGTTGTTTGGTTTCAGTTTCAGTTGTTTTTGCTATTCAGGCTCTCAGACAATCAGTATAATTATATGACAGTTATAATTTTACCATATTATTATACGAGTTAGAATTACATTACTCGTTTCACAGAACTCACCTTCCAACCTTCCTTGATTACGAAATTCAAGTTCTTTAAAACCGGAGGATCCTCAGGACCATATTTCATGAAGACATTTTCAAACTTTACTTCTCCTTTCAAAGGCCAATTAGTTGGTGGTGTGGTAGCTATAAATAAGCATTTAATTGTAATTTTAGAAAAAAATATGGTATAAATAACAAAATACTATGTAGATATTTAACGAAATTATATAATGTGAAACTGTAAATAATTTCTAAAAGTATGAACTTACATCCTACTTCCATATTTTTTTCACAAGGCAGCTTAGTATATTCAAGTACTCTCTCTACAGAAGTCATTTGACCAAGAAAATCAGCTGTAAATCTGGCTGCCATTTGCAACAACATTGTAAGCGTCATCGACTGGGTCACCGCCAGACCGACACTTCCAACTGGGATGACATGCTCATCTAAGGAAAGATCATATCGTTAGACATAGGTACTTTGTTTATAATAATGTTATAAAGAGGAAAGATTTGATTGATTGTTTGTATACGCACCTATAGAAAATTACATTACCAGCGATTAATACCTATAGTATATATTATTATCGGAAATTTTATCTACTCGTGCGAAGCCAGGCCGGATCGCTAGTATACACATATAAAATAAAATGTAAAATTTTAATCATTACTATCTCCAAATTTTTACGGTCGCGGGTTTGATCTTCGCACTGTGAATATATTTGTTTGTATGACTCCAGATATTATAGGCCAATCAGTCTATCCATAGTACAAATTCTCTTAATTTGAGACTAGATGGCATTTCATAATACATACAATTGTATTTTTTTATGTTTTTACATACTAGAAAAAAACCTAAATTTATGCTTAGAAAATATTATCACAATCATGTAGTTACAGTAATTAATATGTGATTTTTTAATCTAACATTCTGTGAAATACGATATAAACCTATTTATATGAGTATATGCTTTTTTAATTTGAAAAAGTTACTGTTTACAGAGTGTTTTCATTATTGTCAAACTTACCAAATTCAACCAGAATAAAAATGCACAATATCATTCCAAGATACGCAAGGCAAATAGCGTCCAAGTACAAGCCAAATGCAGAAGAGCCGCCCAAGTATGTATAGAAAGCACTCGAATGGAGGTCCTGAAAACTTATTTTATTAAATATGTTATATTCAATTTACTTTCAAAGAATTTTTATGTGAGTCGTTTCAGTAGCTTAGTTTTTAAATTAAAATAACTAGTTTTATCATAATTGAAGTCAGTATTTTTTTTTGTAAAACAAATTCTAAATTATTTAAATATGTTACTATCCGTTTTCGTTCGGAACTTTTTTATAACGCAGATAGACGCAACATACTCACATTTTTATGATTTCATATACTCTACATTCCATAAAATTCATAATTTCAAGTTGTTTAATGAAAACTTTAGGAAAATATTTTAGTGTTTTTTGTCACCCTATAGTACTCTATTTACAGATTTCTCAGGGATTTTATTAAATATATAGTTCATGATACAGCAACAAACAATTGACGGTTGTAATAAATAGATGAACTCACCTGTGCGTCATCGAATTGTCGTTGAAGTTGATCTTGGGAATTGGAACTTCTAATGGTGACCAATCCAGCGAGAGTGGAATTGATCATTCCAAATACTGGACTCTTAGCTGTTAAATAAACAAGACAATTATACATATATTGTATATTTGACATGTTTGGTCAAATATTTATTATTGGACACTTACTGGTGCCCTCTAACCGCTTCACTGCCTGAGCGGCCTTCAGGTACCACCTGAGCAGGAGCACGAAGACGACGACGAGCACGGCGGTCGGTATGAGTGTCCAGGGGAGGGCAATCGCGTTCAACACGAGCACGCTCGTCATGGAGAAGTACATCTGCAGCGTCTCCAGGATGCTGCGAGGTAACAGTTCGTCCAGCGCTCCTATGTCCTTCGAGAACCTATTGAGAATACGACCTGAAAAGTAAATCATTTTAGCGGTTCTCTCGCTGTTATAATGTTTTCGCTTAACAATTACCTATTGCTTTATATAAATACCACATATAATTTCAAATTATGGAGAGTGCTTATGCGCATGGTATAAATTTACACACGGCTGATGAACATCAGATGCATATTTTTTGTAAATATAACAATATAATATACATAGAAAATACTCAAAACTATATAAACAAATATTGACAAGAATATTTGTATTTTGCGGAAATCTTATCAAATCATAATCGGAGACCGATAAAATATCATCAGTTATAAATGAATTTCAATTCTAAGATCTTATGTCGTTTAATAAATTGCTACCTAATATTATTTGTAAAAATATGACTAGACTCACCGCTTGGATTGGTGTCGAAAAACCTCATAACAGTGATAATTAATTTTTTAAATACCATGTTATGCAAATTTCGTGAAGCTCGCATTGTAACAGAAACGAACGTTGCGATTCTGATCTGTGCAAATATTATGAGGGCTAATATTACACAACCATGGACTAAAAGGTATTGTGAATTCGTTAATGGTCCTATTTTACTATTTAAACTTGAATCTGAAAAATAAAAAAGCAATTCATGTAAAAACGAAGTACACAAACTACAAAAGAATTAAGGTGAGTAAAAAATTTATTTTTAATGTTGCCGCATTATTTTATGATTATCATATCATTTGATGACGCAGTAGTGATGACTCAATGGCGCAGTAGCTAGCTACTGTTTTGCATAAACGATGTTCCGGGTCCAATTCCTGGTGAGGCCAATTTATGAAACGGACTTTTCTGAATTGGCTCGTATCCTTCTAGGTTGTTTTTTCGTATGTGTTTGTTGCCAAGTTTCTCATAAAATAGTGTAGTTGTGTAGCATTTATTATTATTATTTCTTTCTATCTTCTCGCCAAGTACCTACCGGTATATATAGAGAAAATCGAGTGCCAAAGATCTAGGTATATGCTTTCATACAGTTCCATACATACATATCTGACATGCCAGTCTCCCATTGCTGTAGATAGAAACAATGGAAAGCCATGTTGCCAAATACTTTGACTCAAACAGATCTCTTTCGCTTCTCTGTATCAATTAATGTATTCTTACATGCTTACCACTTTTCTGGTTTGTTTTATACATACACACTAATTATATAAATATAATGTTTACCTGAAAAAATTAAATAATTTTGAGGAAGAATATGATTTAAATGGCGTTAATATCTTACCAAGCTCTTCGCCTTCAGGTAGATTTTGAATATAATCATCCACATTATTCGTCCTGTAATAGAAAAGTTAATTTAAAATCTAGTTTCAATCAAACCATAGATAAAATAAATAGTCATTAAGATTTGTAAAAAGTCCTTTTTAAAAGTTGTTTTGATGTAGAAAAAGAGATTTTAGTTATCAAAAATTCGTACGAGACCAACTAGTAAAATAAATTGATTGCAAAGAATCATCAAAATCGGTTCACATTAAAATACAGTCTATTATTGGTCTCTTCCTTTTCAAAATATATAAATAACGGTATTATAGAATATAGTATATTACTCCTATCCATTAAAAGTTTACTTGGAAGAGGGATAATAAAGAAAATCTATATTTACTTGGAGATTTATAATGACACGAATATCAAATGATGAACTAAACTATATTTTTTGCTAATAGGTAATTAATAATAATAACTATTAATATGAAAAAGTTGCGAGCATTTGAACATCCAATAGATAATATATTTATGTTCTAAAAATGTATACTTACCAAAAACTGACCCAATAGTCGACAGTGGTGGCAGTGGCTTGTGTTATCGTCAACGTTGCAAACGCTAGAAATACTATAAACCAGGAGTTGACAGACTTCAAGTACTTGCTCACCACTTCCCACTTCAAGTTGCCTGTGGCCCTCTCTTCTGCGGCCTGCTTTTGTTCCTTTTCTGCGTTAGGATTTTCGTTTTCACTTCTAACTGATATATTTCTTTTCATTGATGTTCGCTTAACACCCTAAACAATTATAATTTTGTTTGAGTTATAAGAAATATGAGTATATAAATCACGTTTAATCTGCATTATTTATTATGACGTAATTTAATTACGTTTTTTAGATAAATTGGAAAAGATTTTGAAGCATTCTTTAACGAATCTCTAATTAAATAAAATTTAATATTATATATAATGAATAGAATTGTGTTAAACTCCATCAAGTATGAAATGTAAAGGCGTATAATTTTTCTAAGCTAACAAATTAAAATTTAATTTTAGAGAAATTAAAGGAAAGATACCCCATCATACTTTTGTTCAGAATTGATCCCATTATTAATAAAGTTGTAAGCCGGTTTGATATTAGTTGTTATTAGCTGTCAATCTTTTATAATATGGTATTACGAAGAATTATCAGTCATTAAATATGGACATATTGCATAGTATGGGCCTAAAAAGGATTGTTAGTAATGAGGATCTGACGACCCCATTGTTAGCTATATACTCTATCATATCGACCTCCACGCGTTTCCCCCTGGAAACCATCTTGGATAATTATTTTTTAATTCGTCGTATTCTAACTTATCATCACTCACTGGTCTCCCACCAGCATATACCGGTAGCACAGACGGGATAACCATTCCATTATCACCCATTGAAAAAAATATCACATAGTATTTTGTGATACTTATGATTAATTTTAGACATTTTATATATCACACAATGATAGCAAATACTTACTCAAACTGGGATATCCTATATTATATTAATTCAAACAATAAAGTTCCAAAGATACGAGTTACAATATTCACTATCTATTTTATGTAACACACAGTATCAAGGTTACTAAACATCTAGTTCCAATATACTTCAGACAAAATATATAAGTAAACACAACCTAAACTGATCGAACTGGGAATTTTGTTACTTATCATTCAAGAATTGGTGTGTCTCTTATATAGTCCAAGAATTTCAATTTAGACGAAGAATCATCGAGTGTGTATTACTAATAGGCATAATCTATTACAGAAAGGGAGACGTTATATTTTATGTATGTAGAAAAATACGTATTTAAGATAAATAAAATAACAACCTTGTCGTCCGAAACGCTATCTTCTTTCTCATCGCTTTCACCTTCTTGAAGACTGGACAGCAAGAATGAGAATTCTTTTTCAGATTTTACCAATTCATCATAAGAACCCATATTTTCAATTGTTCCCTATAACAAATTAACACCTACAATAAGTAAAACACGTAAAAATTATAGTAAATAAATGATAATCAATAAGTGAAATAATAATTACTAACATTATTTAAGATGACTAAGTAGTCGGCTGCCTTGAGATAATGTAACTGATGAGTGACAAGAATGACTGTCTTCCCGCTCAAGTAACCCTTGATGCAGCCCTCGAACAACTGCCGGCCTACATTTGCATCCACCGCCGACAGCGGGTCGTCCAGCAGATAAATGTCGGCCTGAAATAATACAGATGTATTATTATGTATTGATGAAAATAATAAGCGATGGCGTGGCGGCCTAGATGCGTTTAAAAGAAACTGGTTTGAGGTGGCGCAGAACAGGAAGTATTGAAAGGAGACGGGGACACCTTTACCCAGCAGGAGGACATCATGGTTAATAATAGAATATAGGATAGATGAAAATAATAATAAATCATATTATTAATAATTAAAACTCGCCTCTCTGTACACAGCTCTCGCTAAGTTAATTCTAGCTCTTTGGCCGCCTGAGAGGGAAACACCGCGATCACCGACCAAAGACAAATCCCCGTATGGAAACTGTTTGAAGTCTGGCAACAGCGAGCAAACTCGGCATACCTATAATGAATAAATTATATAAGTTATTAAAAAGCCATGAACTATTAATATTATAACATATATAATTAATAACACTTAAAATATATTTATGGAATAAAAAAAATGCTCACAGCTGTTATCTCCAACAGGGTAGTAATGTTGTTCATTGTTCCTGTATTTATAGTCAATTAAGTGTTGGTAGTAAACAAAAGTTTGAAAACGTATGCTACCCTTCTGTTTTAAAAGGTACAAAATATTAAAATTTTTTTTTGGCATATTAATTAAAATTACGTACCTCTTTATATTTCTCAGGGTCGTAAGGCAATCCAAAAATAATATTTTGTCGGACAGTGCCCGCAAAAAGCCAAGACTCTTGACATGAGTATGATACTGTACCATTAACTTTAACGGAGCCCGATCGTAACGGCATCTCTTTTAGTAAAAGTTGAAGTAGCGAGGTCTGAAATGAGTGAGTTTTTGCATAACTTAGAAATTTAAAGTACATAAATAGATAAAAGTCGATAGCACATGCGATTATTTTGGTATTACTTAGATTATGAAGTATATAAGTACGTTATACTAAGTCGTTTTTTTTTTTTTTTTTAAGGGTGAAAATGGTATGGTAACTCCGCCTGCGCTAACGGGATACGCTGGCGGAGCACCAGTGAAGAGTAATAGATGAGAATGAAAACAGGCCAGTTAGCCCATCATGAAGAATTCATTACGAATTAACCATGATAGTTTCCAGGGAGAACCGCGAGGAGGTCGACCTGGTTGGGTATATTGCTAGCAATGGGGTTCTCAGTCCCCATTACTAACAATCCCTTTCCCCCCTATACTAAGTCGTTGTGGTAGTATAATGTACCTGAGGCTAAATAGAAGTTTTTCTTCTATTACCACGCTATTGGTAGACACTGATACAATATTGTCACATTGTAATATAAAAATAATAGTATCATTGCGATATTATCTTTTCTTGCTTTTCTTAATAATATAATAAAATTGTTACTAGATAATGTCTGCACATGGAAAATATTTAAGAAAAAATCATATAAAGGTGATAAGAGCAATAGAACAACATTTTTTAGGAAATTTTGTCTATCTATCTGTATATTTGTTCCGATATCACGCAAAACTCTTGCATTAAATTGAATACAGTGTCCTAGTATATTCATGAAGGTTTAACTTAAAGTCTGGTATGTCTCATCGTGATACACCATTTAAAAGTGGTCTATTTCGTTAATTTTCCTACTTCTGAAATCCACGCGTAGGAAGTAACAGGCGGAAAGCTAGTTAGACCATATAATTTTAAAATGTTCTTGTCTATCAGAATAATACAAGCCCTAACTTATATAACCTTAAATCAAGACTTGAAATAATATATTGACTAAATTTCTTACAAAGTAATAAAGGTACTCGATTATACTTTTTGTTATTATTCAATAAAAGTTTGAAATATTTACCTTTCCAGTACCAACGGGTCCAATAATTGCGCAGAGTTTACCCTTCCGTAGACGCATCGAGATGTTCCTAAGAGTACATTCTTCAATAGGAGTTTCATTTAACCATGATGCGGTAACTCCCGATAACTCCACGACCATATCTGTGCCTTCGAATTTTTGTGGGCGTGCTACAATATTTTTATGTACAATATTAATACGTACTCCTAAAACTAACATAACGTAATCTGCCTGGCAAGCGTAGCAAGTTGCAACTACTGATAAAATCCTCCCTTATGTTCAGCAGTGGACAATTAACGGCTGATATGATGACGATGATTTAGACTATACTATGTGTAAGTACAAAGCAAATAAAATTAAAGCTTAGAGTTTAATAATATGAAAATACATGTTACAATACGAGTACAAATAATTAAATTCTTACCAATCGGATGCAATTCTGAAAAATTCTCAAATGAAGAATATTTATTCCCATGAACGTTATTTGTATCAGATGTTTTTGCATTGTGATCAATCACTATGTTATTTTTGTAATTTTCGTTAGTTTTATTCTTCAATGATACGTCGTCTCTTTCCTCTAATAAATAATAAAGAGTACATTAGAAATAAGCATGTTTCTTATAATTTCATCACATCTACCTAATTGTTCGTCTATTTGTGCAACTATTTGTCCCGAATGTTACAACATCATTCCTTTTATATCTTAAATATAATGTACAAGTAATTTTAGGGCGATTAAGATAAATACTTTCAAATATTTTTTGTTTCTTAATGTATTATATATTAGAAACGTACCCATTATCATGAATCCTTGGATGCGTTCCACTGAAACTTTCATCTCGGACAACGAGGCTATAAGTAGTGGTAATATCATAGTTATGTTGAATTGAATTATGGAGAAATATTGTTGAATCGGATAGATCTAAAAATAGAAAATTATTAAGTATGTTATCTATTAAATATATTTTCATTCAGAGATAAATTTGTGTTATTATATTTCCTTTAGTATTATTCTTTAAATGGAACAATAAAGAGTAAATAAATAAAATATATAATAAAAACTGAGAATTTGAAAATGTAATAAAACTTTGAATTAGTAAAAAAGATTAAAATAATAGTTGTACCGTCGAAGCTGAAATCATTTCGCCACTAAGAACAAGGGTAAGGATAGTGATAAACATGATAGTTCTATCGGTGAACAGCATAAATCCAATGAACACGCTCCTGACGAAGATAGCATTCCTGAGGGCGCTTGTCTCGTGGGATCGTGCCAATTCCACCACCTTTTGAAAAGGCTTTTCCCATGCGTACATTTTAATCACCTGTATTAAAAACAAAACAAATGTAAAAAATGTAATATAATGCTTCTTCTGTATAAGTAAAAGACAATGTGTAGATATATTTTTTTATTACATTACATAATTTACTAAGCAGAGTAATAGGAATATGTTGTATCTATAGATTGTAATGATCTTTGTCTTCTATTATCTTTTCTAATGATTTGAATGTCTAAAGGCGACGGCTACCACTTTCCATCAGGTGGACCGTCGGCTTGTTTGCCATTCTAAGTTACATAAAAAAATCTAACTGCTAATTTTTACATAATAGTCCTAGTAATATTATTTACCTGAATTCCATTAATAATTTCATTCATAAGTTTTATTCTTCTGTCTGTTCTTTGAGCGGTTTGGCGTCTTATTACTGCTGTAAGCTTAGTAAGAGCAGCTGAAAGATAATATATGAAATTTCTCAGATTCAGGAATGTATAAAGAATAAATACCTCAAATAAATAAGCATTAAAGGCATAATGATTATAAGTTTGTATTTATGTGATTGTATTATCTATCATGTTTACAGTGTGTAAGGGTCAGGATGGCTAAATCGAACAGCTGATTTAATGAATGGTCTAAATCATAGTATAGTATTTCTGAATGGGACCTAGGTTTCTATAATACTTCGTAATGTTATAGGTCAACGATTAGAGTTGAATCAAAGGCTGCTGTAAAAAATGTTGAAACAGATTGTAATTTTATGTTATATAATATTACGTACCTAAAACTATCTTTTTATTTAATTTAAACACCTATCTTCCTAATAAATGTCACAGTTATAATATATATATATATATATATATATATATATATATATATATATATATATATATATATATATATATATATATATATATATATATATAGGCATTTTGACTATAGATAAATTAGCAACAGTTTGCAATCAAACGGACTGTGTGTTTATTGTTTTAGTTAGGTAAAAATATAACAAAATTATAATTACATTAAATTACCTTGTATAGGGAAGATTAAAATGATGACAGAGAATAATCCAACGAAGGGCGCGTACCCAGCTCTGTTATACAACAAGTACAAGACTACAGCAGTCTGTATGGGGATCAACCACACGTAGTGGAGGAACATGAATGCGTAGTCGAATCTTGCTAAGTCGTTAGAAAGTAAGTTGACTATCTTGCCACCAGCCACTTCACCCAACGCCACTTGACTCATACGTAAAACCTACGGTTTATAATATTATATTAGAAGTATATCATACAGAACAACCTGGTTAACCTTGTGCTTTAATTAAAAGAAAATATAGTTTTTATAGATTTTATGTTATGAATTTAATAATTGATAGGTACTCATACGCATATTTCAGATATTATTGACATTAGTTTTTAGAACTTTCACTGCTACGTGCATTTTTTTTATACTACTTAGAATGGCAAACAAGCTGACGGCCCACCTGATGAAAGTGGTAACCGTCGCCTATAGACATGAGCAGTACCATGGACATAACAGAGTACAGTATACTGTTTCGCCCATGATACCCCCCATACGTTGCCATTCCTGAGGACTCAGGTGTTATTCCTCTGTACCCAGTAAATTCACGTGCATGAGAATTAAATAACTACCTATGCTGATATCTCAAGGATTCTTCTGATAGTAGGTAATTTATCAGCCTATCTGATCAGAATAAGTATTAATCTGAATACTAGCTAGACTGCTAGGCATTACATTTTCTCACTTCCGCGTCATAGGTACCTACAAATGCTTTGTCATTATTACCATGCGTTAATTGTCCGAACCTATCGAGTATAACTATATATCTTTTCACACTCACACTAACACTTTCTTTGAAGGTGCTTCACTCTCACTACATTATTATTACAAAACAAGGTGTAGACCTTGTTTTTATCCTTGCATTTCATTTAACCGAATGATATAGTCTTGTTCAAATTCTATCTACTTATTATATTATGTGAAAGTGAAATAAAGCTTAATTTCATAAAAATATAACTTAATTTTGACTGTATAATTACTTTTCCCCTCACTAATTTATGAGTACACCCTCTACTTTATTATCCATAAAGTAGAGGGTGTCGTAAGAGCTAGCTGAGGGAGGACGACGAATAGGCAGCAGCACTCTCTTAAAACATCTCTAAAGCCTGACTGCGGTTGCCAATCCACTTGCCAAGCGTGACAACTACTGGAAAAGCCCCTCCCAAGGGGGAGGCTTATGTTCAGCAGTGGACAGTTAAAGGCTGATATGATGATGATGATGATGATTGACCACAAAATATACATGATGAACGCGTGTACAGGTACTCATTTTTTTAATACCTATCTAACGCATATGATTTAGTTGGATTTATATTAATTTGTATTCTACATTTTAGTATATAAATTGTGATTTATAATTATTTTACCTTTCTGTAAAGGAGTGCTGAGCATGCGATTTTTATTTTTAAACTGAACCGCATAACAAACAAATTATTGTGGTGTTGGCACATCATCGTTACGAAATTAGATCCAAGCATGCCCAAGGCATACAAACCGGCTTCCTGTCGCGTCATAGTCGGATCAGTCCAATAGGATAGAAGCCGGGAAAATAGCAGCGGTTGAATGGTCCTGCACAAAAATTGTAAAGGCGAATTCTTATTGCTCAATCTATATAAAATTATTGTCAACTTAGGATGTGTAGATTTTAGAAGTATTATAACAAAATAATTCATTTTGACTATGTATAATAAAAGTACATAAGGTATATTTACGTAGTAAAGTCTTTTAAATTACATTTATTATGTACTGAACTGGCACGTTCTAAGTTTTTTAAAATGAACGTAGATTACGTAGTTCACTAATTGTATTAATATTAGATATTTACTATTTTTACGTACCTTGCAATGCTTAATAAACCTACATATATTGCTCCTGGCATGTATGCTAACCAGTAAGCTTTTTTTAAAGCCTTCCACAGCGATGGATCTCTATTTTCTCTCTTTGATCGTTCCAATTCTTCTAACCAATATCTAAAAGTAAAATAAAATATAATATAATATTACATTAAAAATAATGATGTGTTGGGAAAAATGAATATTTATGTAGTTAAAATTATCGATCCTTAACAAAATCAAATATGTTAAATATGTTGTATGATATATTATGTAAAAACTAAAATATCGACTACCAATTGCTGACCGATCATATGTTTTTTTTGTATTACTTTTTAAATTTTTTTAAGAGATTTATACTTTTTTGTTGTTATGGTATACATATGAACTATTTTTTTCTGAGGCGTGAATATGATTATCATATTATTCACTTAGATAATTGATTTAATAAAAACATAATAATTGTAAACAACATAAATATCAGAATTAGAACAATCTCCAGATAACGAACCAATAAAAAAGGTACTAAGTACTTAATGAAACAAATAAAATAATATGTTGTAATGGATTGATTTACACTGTAATTGTGCAAATATAGGTATACTGTGTTATATACAACTAGTTTTGATCTGTGATCTCGTCTGCGTAAAAAAATGGCCTAATTTTTTCTTTAACCCATATTATATATACGATATTTCCTATTGAATGGTAAGGCCATTAAGAGATCAATAGTTACCATAGAAACAAATTTACTTTTAAATTTAAAATATTATTAGTATTTGATCTCTTAAATGTCATTATACGAGTAGTTATTATAGAAATGTAGCAATCCGATATCTATAATTTACGTAAGTGCATAAGGTAAAAAATTAAATATTTAAATATTATAAATTATAATTATTATAATAATATATAATAATGTACATATATAATGTACATAGTAATTTCATTATATTAGTAAGATAAGTTTATACGTTGAATCAGTCTACTAAAACTTTAGACTTAATGAAAATTATAATATTGTCGAATTTACATACCTACAAAACAAAATAAGCAAACATTTTGTCGACTGTTATTATTAATGAGATAGCCAGAGAGAGAGAGATATTTGTTGAAATTTTACCACAATGAAAATTGTAGTCCCGAATTGGCATGCTCTCATTTCTCCGAGCATATAATCCAACGCGACAGAGGATGAGCCTACCGGCGTCTTTCGCATTGTTTTTTTTTTTATGTAAGAATAAAATACAATGTTAGATCGATAAAGTTGTTGTTTTGCACACAAACTTGTTTTGAAGTTATAATGAAGTCATTTAAAGAAGTTAGAGCATAATCAACATCGAGACATATAAAATTATCTATTAAGTTGATATGGTATCTGTATCTTTGTACGAGAATTGATAAAAAAATAATAATCATCATGAAATAACGTTAATAGTACAAAATATGAGTAGATATCTAAACATTATGCAAAATAAATACTTATTGTAATACAGGATGTTGAACTGTCAATCAAATAATTTCAAAATATTATTTAATATATTAAATAGTAACCTGGTGATGTCTGTACATGCGAGACATTTAAGAAAACTTATATATAGCAATAATTTTCAAAATATTTGTCTGTCTGTATGTTTATTTCGGTATCACGCAAAAACTACTGCACCAAATTGGATGACCGTAACGTTAAAATCTAATATATCTTTTATCTTGATATGCAATTTAGACGCCATATTTTATTTCCACGCGTACGAAATAGCGGACATAAATCTTACTAATATTATATGTTTATAGTACTGTATAAAATAATAATTATATATACAACTAGTGCATTATCGATTTATCTGTCTAGTAAAGCCACAGTGTAGGCAGATCGGAGTAAGAAGTTTTTTTATAGAATAGTAGATCAGTTATTCTTTATGATAATAATAAATGTTCGTATAGGTACTTGTTGGTTTGTGATTAATGACTTCGATTTTGACCAATCACCATGAAAGTTGGATTATATTTCATAGAGAAAGTTTTTATGATATTGTTTTGTTGTAAGGTTTGGACGGACGGAATTACAGCAAAACTTCTGAGAGTGGGTGGAAAACCGGTACTTGTAGTCCTTTAGAGGCTATTTAATTTCGTCATCCATAACGGTCTTTCGCTAGAGGCATAGAGCAGAAGTGCGGTAATCCTTTTCTTCAATAAGGGTGACAATACCCTATTGAAGAATCATATACCGATATCCCCTCTAAATCGCGTCTACAACTGTTTTCCAATGACTTCCAGCCACCCGAACAAGTTGGCGTCCGAAAGGGCTTTAGTACCATAGACGTATGTATGTAGTCTATGACAGATTATACAGAAAATCGAAGAGTATACCTTATCATAGTCTACCACTATGTTTGGCATTTGTGAACTATGAAAAAGCCTTCGTTTTGATCGAGATATGGTTGGTATTACAGTCCCTCCAGCAGTGCCAGATTGACTATAGGTATATCGAAGTGTCGAAGTGTATGTACAGTAAGGCTACGATGTCAACCCGATTACAGAACCAGAGTACAAAAGCCATCCCAGTGCAGAAAGGTGTAAGACAGGGTGACGTCATATTATCTCTTCACAGATGCATTGGATGATGTTTTCAAACTTTTGGATTCGAAAAGATATGATATAAACATCAATGGTCAATACATCATCCACCTTCGGTTTGCCGATGACATAGTAATCATGGCGGAATCCCTGTAGAATTTGAATACTATGCTCAATGATCCCAATGGTGCTTCTCAATAGGTAGGTCTTAAGATGAACATGGACAAGACTAAAATAATGTTTAGACATTATTTTAGACATTAGTGTCCATGTCACATCTATACCAGTTACGATTGCGCACACTACGCTCAAAATTGTCGACGAGTATGTATACCTGGGGCAAGTTGTCCGAATGAGTAAGTCCAACTTCGATCGAGAGGTCAACCAACGAATCCAACTCGGCTGGGCAGCGTTCGAAAAACTACGCCACATCCTTTTATCCAAAATACCTTAAAGTTTGAATACATAGGTCTTTAACCAATGTGTATTGCCAGTGATGACTTATGGAATCAAAACATGGTCCTATACGATTGATCGTATGCAAAAGCTTCAAATTACTCAGTGGGTTATGGAGAGTGCTATGCTCAGATTTTCTTTGCGTGACAGAATCCGAAAGGAGAATATCCGCAAAAGAATCAAAGTAACTGACATAGCCCGAGAGATAAACAAGCTCAAAGAAGCGACAAGAGAGAGAAAAGAAGAAAGGTTCTTGAGTGGTGACCTCGTACTGGCAAACGCAGTGTAAGACGACCTCTCCCCACTAGATGGAGTGACCTCAAATGCATTGTAGGCAGTCAGTGGATGCAAATGGCTCAGAACCGTTCCTTATGGCGGTCTATGGAGAGGCCTATATTCAGCAGTGGACGAATAATGGCTGAGATGATAATGATGATAAAATTTAACAAAGAGTATTTTTTGTATTGCTATAGTCCTCAATAAATATTTTTTAATAATCTTCTAATTTATTTTTAATTACTGGCTTAAGTCATATAGGACTATAGGTATATATTAAGGAGAATATGATGTGTGTTATTTAGGTTGTAGGTAAATAATTAAGAAATGAAAATATTTAATGGTTTATTTATTAATTTAGTCATTAGCACAATTAACTTGCTTCTTTTATTTTTCATCTTTGTAAATTTGTATATTATATTGACGTACCTGTAATAATTATTATCAATTTGTGTAATTGCATTTGAAAATGAAATTGAAATTAGATGATTAGATTATTACTATTTCTTATTTATAATTTATCAAAACATACGCTTGGGAAATTTCGTACCAGAAGGTGGTTAGAGAAAAACGTGGTAATGAGATGAAGCAAATACGAGTCGCTACCGCACTTATAGTTATTTTCTTAGGATTTTTAATAATTTATGAAGAGAACTGTACTCTTCATTACATCACATTCATATTGTTAGGCAACTCTATGATAGGTAACGTTGTAAGTATTGTTTTATAGTATTATTATTAAATTACATTGGTTCATATTATGATCGGAGTTTCTTTGTGTGATGGAATCTGAAACGAGGATGTCCGCAAAAGAAACAAAGTAATCGACATAGCCCAAATGTTAACAACCTAAAATGGCAATCGGCTGGTCACATAGCTCGAAGAACAGACAACCGATGGAGAAGAAAAGTTCTTGAATGTCAACCTCGTACGGGCGAACACAGTGTAGGACGATTTCCCACTAGATGGAGTGACGACCTCAAATGCATTGCAGGAAGTCAGTAGATGCAGGTGGTTCAGGATTTTTCCTTATGGCGGTCTGTGGGGGAGGCCTATGTCCAGCAGTGGATAAATAATGGCTGAAATTATGATAATACATGACGAATTAGCTGACATATTAGCTGGTGAGAGTTAAAACCGTATCCGCGCCAGAACTGGCTAACCGTGTAGCATGGCCCTCTCCGTGACATAGCTACTTCATTTGCATCGGTAATGAAAACTTAATGCTAAGAAGAAACATAAAACAATGCTTAAAATGATAGTATTGAAAAACTTATAAAATATTACATTTTTCATGTATCAAGCCAACATACAAGAATCTCTATCTAAATACACTACGTATTTAGATGGTTTTTAAACTATATAATTTACTCTAAAATTGAAGCGTAGGTATTTTATTTGCTCATAATTTTATGTACGGAGCCGTTGGTATATGAGTTCAACTCGCACATAATAGCGGTCTATTATTTATCATTAAACATTTATATTTTTTTTTGTCTAAAAATGATAATTTGATTAAATATATTATTTGGATGTTGTCTTGATATGTTTATCAGAATAGATTAGGAATTAAAAATACGCTTGCTGTTTTCTACATATATAAGTTCTTGTGTTCAGATTTTATACATGCATCGTCATCATGTCTGCGGTCTTTCCTTCAAGGATATCAAAATAATTTATCTATTTCAATCAAGTAGAGATATATAAGTACAAATTAATAACCTTCGCTCTTGTAATTTTAAAGTTGCTATCCCACATCTATTATATTATAAATTGAAAATTTGAATAGTCGAATATTGTTTAATTATAGATTTTAACTGAACACACACAAAATTCTAATAAATATACCAGAGGGAGTGTGGCTATGTAAAAAAAATCGTCTGCTTCGGTGCCTCTGTCCCACTCTAGTTTTGCTGTGAAGTAACTGTGCTTATATGATAGTGTTAGGTCTAAAGGATGGGATGTGGTAGTGCTCCAATATACTCGAGACCTCTGCTCTATCTTCAATATTAAGGGCAATTGGCAAATATCATCACCATCTTGTACATAGAATGTCAGGCATGTATTATTATTAACAAGAAGACCGTATCGTCCACACTTGGTGTAAGCTTATAGCCATACTGAATTCATCGACGTTGATAACTAACTCATAGACGTAGTATGATGTACTAAAGTAACTTCGTATAAATATGAAATTAATTTGTTAGTAGGTACAAATTAACTCAACATTTCTCTCAGCCACCTTTCAGAATCTACTACATAAACATTAAGGCGCTTCCATGTTTTTGTATTTTTTTCATTACTTATTACTATAGTATAAATTTACGTTGATTTAATGTGGTATATAACCCGAATCCTAATAATGGCTTTAAGTAACTGATCACACTCTCTTCTCCAATACCGTTATACTGTAAGACACGAGCACATACTTCATAATATTTTATTGTATTAACATTAACAAATTCCATTCCGTATGGTCTTGGCATAGAATAGGCCACCCTTTTTTTTCCCGTGGGTTTCGTAAGAGGCGACTAAGAAAGAGCGAGGGATGGACATCAGCGTCCCACTTAAAACATCACCAAACTTAACTGCGGTTGCCTAGGTCTATGTTCAACAGAATGTTAATTAATTAAAAGATTAATATTATAAAATTTTCCTCCACAACATAATTGACATTCTGAGAATCTCCAAAACCCAACTGCAGTTGTCAATCCGCCTGTCAAGTGTGGCAACTAATGGCAAAATCCCCCAAGCTTATGTTCAACAGTAGACAGTTAAAGACTGATACGAGTATGATGATGACGATGACGATGAATATTAATAAACTACACGCATAACTTATCAATTAAGATAGTTCTAATATAAAAACAAAAATACCTTTCAAGTTTATCACCGTGTCTTTCTGAGTCGTATTGCTTATTGGGAACAATAAGATCCTTTTCTTCAACATCTCTCTTGTTTCCTTTTACTAGCACTGGACACATCCAACATATGAATATTCTTGATATTATATTAGGTTTACTTCTCTTTTTCTGAGTTCCATCGTTAAACGTTTTGTATTTACTGTTGCTTTTAACGTTATTTTCCATATTTCAGTTATTAATTATCGAAATTACTAACACAAATTAAATCACATTAGGACACTTATTTTTTATGTTATTAAAACGAGTGAACGTTAAACATTTAGCGTGTTCCACACGAAATGCGAATAAATACTGACCGTTCAAGTTAATATTTGGCTTATAATACATTATTTTTACTTATCAGTGGACGTTGTATGTATGACGATTGACGATTTAAAACTAATCTCGGTATCATTGGTACAGTCAGCAAGTACACTTAGATTATGTTTTATTCAGGACGGCATAATATTGATAGTATGAGTACTATTATACTATATTTTAAAATTATTCTGATTTATAATTGTCTTTCTTATTATGACAATGGAATATATATCACAATCATCTTTGTGTATCTATTACGTTTTCACTATTTATCAAATTAATAGTCATTAAAACATTATTGTAGCCTATCATATCAGCCTTTAACTGTCCAATTCTGAACACAAGCCGCCCCCTAGGGGGGGTTTTGCCAGTAGTGGTTATGCTTGGTAGACGGATTGCCAACTGCAGTCAGGTTTTAGAGATGTTTTAAGAGGGGCGCTGCTGTTCATCCCTTACTTACCCTTAGTCGGTTCTTACGACACCCAAGGGAAAGGAAGAGGTGGCCTATTCTATGCCGAAACCACACGGCCATGTTGTAGCCTAGTGGTATATTAATCTAACTTACAAATTTCAAAAGTCTTGAGTTTCAATTTGACCGACGCCAAAAACTTTGTGTGTCTATTTAAATCTTGACCTAGCTTTATAATGCTAATAAAAATACTGTTAATCCAAAATTAAAGCTTAGATTTGCTACCCTACCACGTTGGATTCAAATATCTTTGGCAAATTGTAGACATGTCGAGTGTTATGTTCACCATAACAGCAATAGTCAACAAATACATGTAACTCCTATTAAGGAGCACAATCGAGATAATTTTTATTATTTTTATTTATTGAAATTGTAATAATTTAATAATTATATTAAATTTAAATTATAACAATGGTTCAACCCATCTCATCAAAAGTGTATATTTCTCAAATACATTCGTTACCAGCAATCCGTCTCGCCGTGTAGGTCCTGGCATAAAATATGCCACCCCTTCCTATAACACCGTAGATAGCATCTTAGTCATTATGATGTAAATTTATGTAGTAGTAGTAGTAAAGTTAGTCACTACATAGTATTTATATTGCATATAGATATGGAACAACACCACGATTATTATAGAATATACTTTATATACTTAAAATTATGATATTTATTCAAGAAAGTTTAAAAAAATGGTAAAGCAGCGAAATATACCATTAACAACGAGTTAGTCGTAGTTACCTGTAAGATAAAATTATAAACAGAGATAAATTACTCAATTTTTTTATTATTTTCATTAAACGTAAATTTAAAAATAAATAATATTAGTATATCAAATAACAGTAAACAAAGAAATTTATTTGCAATCTTCAAGTCAAAATTCTTTTAGAGTGTAGAGGACAAACTTTACTGCTCATCGAGTTGCATGTGCAGTTATAGCTAATTAATTTATTCTCTATATTTTCAACCAACATTTTAACGTGGCAAATAGGAACCAGATCACAGTCACAACTTGAAAAATGTGTACTGAGCATTTTTGCGGGATTATTTTTTAGGTATGTTTCACTCTTGACAATGTTTCCTAAATGGGTATTCTTTGATAAATCTAATACTTTTCTTAAATTTTGTACATTATCATACTGGAGAAGTTCATGTTGGTCTTCATCATTTAAATTATTGTTTTCAATTAAATTATGTGAAGTATTTACCATATGATACGAAAGACATATATTTTTATTAACAGAATCTTTTAGCAATATTTCATTATCATCATGCGCGCTCACCATTGTTTCGTATGTATTCACTTTAGCTTCGTGTATAGAATCAGCCGATTTCAGCATACAATTGTTATCTTTATCATAAATCATATGTTTACTTTTATTTTTATTGAATACGCTATCCATAATATAAGACATATTCATAGGAAATGCTGGATCGCACTTTTTATATAAATTGCTGATTTGATTATTATTTGCAATATACATAGATTTTGTGCATAAACATGACCCTAAAGTTTTATTACAAGTACAATCTATCGTATATCCTATATCAGGTGTAGTTTTAATTTGATAACTGGATGATATAATCTCATTTTTATCTGATCTATCTATATCATTAATTTCCTGGCTATTTATTATTTCGTAATTATTTTTACTTTCTATTTCATTAATAATTTGGTAACATAAAGGTTTAGTATTTATTACATCACTTGAAATGTGACAATTTTCTTTTGTTTTTGCTATATCTATACAATGATTTACCAAAATTTCATTGGTACCAAATAATTCAGAATATGGTTTTCTGCTGTTTTTAGGTAAATTACAATGACAACAGATATCAGAAGAATTACAATATTTATTTACAAGTAGCTCATGAGACTCTGTGATTTGTACATTTTTATTTTTTCTCTCCATAGCATCACAAGATTTCGTTTTCATTTCTAGATTACTGGGCACTTGAGCTGATATATTTTGAGCCAGAATGATAGGTGAATTTAATTTAGACAGTTTATTGGTATTATAATTTTGGTCTACAATGCTGGATGTATCTAAATTTTTAGATAATGGATAATGATTATATGAATCGTTATTTATATCTCTTTCTGGTAATTCATTTTGAGTCATCAAATAATTTTCTTCACTTTTATTAACAGTATTTTTACATTTACATAAACTTTTCAAGCGTTCAAAATCATTCTCTATTAAATGACATACTTGGTCCAATACATCGGGTACAAATTTTTCTTCATTTTGGAATGATACACAACAACATCCAACACGTTTTATTTTAGTTTTTAAGTATTCTTGTAATAAACAATAGGCTCGATTCCAACTTCCTAGAGAAGGCTCTTCGTCTAGGCACTTACATATAATTTTATTTGAACTATCGGAAATTATCTGTTTGACTCTTTGAAAAATTGTTGAAAATATTTTTTCTTGTTCATCGAGTGATATACATGAAGATTTGCAGGAAGACTGTCTAAATTCTTCTAATCTATTTTTCAGATGTTCTTCTAATAGATGAAAGGTATTAACTTCTAAATCACGAGAATTATCAAATTTATTGTCATTACAACAAACACACATTTCATGTTTGTCTATTATTACATTATCATTAAAACTCTGAGATTCAACTGCTTTTTCATTTTCATAAAAATTAACGCGTTGTTTGCTAAGTTTCTCACCCGTAAAATACTTGAATTCATTAAACTTAATATTACAATTACATGCCAGTAAATGTTCATCTCTCTGATCTACATTTATATTTCTGTATTCCTCCTTAATTGATTGATCTTTATTATTATAACATACTTCATTCATTGTTTCATTGTTTTTTAAAATATTTTTGTTATTCTTAACATTTAAGGTATATTCATCATGCAAAATGCATTGCGAATTAGTGTTAGCTAGTGTAACGCCTAAAAATTTTATATTGTAGTATTGACTGTTAGAAGGAAATAAATCTTTCATTTTATTATTTTCATTCATATCAGTAGTTATATCCTCTGTATTTGAAATTAAATCACTTTGTTCTTGAAGTTTTTGTGTTTGTTCAATGCTTAGTTGTGACTTACTTTGTAACATTTTTGTTTGTTCTTCATTATTACACAAAGTTAATTGATCCTTTTGTATCTCTTTTTCTTCTGAACATTTTTTACAATTACATGTTTCAGGACTTAAACAATTAATTGGGATATTTAATTTATCTTGAGATTTGTTCCTATAACTACTTTTATTAAAACTATTATTTTTTTTGTTACAACCACTAAACATGTCATTATCCAAATTTATTTCACCCATATATTCTGATTCTGTTGTAGGAGGTAAGTATTGTTCGAATTCTATACCTTTAGAAATACTGGAGTTTATATCACTTTTTATCGATTTTATAATTATAGGTGATTCTTGTGTTTTTATATTAATATTTAAATTATTACTTATTTGTTTCGATTTATGATTATTCAAGACTGGCATCGTATTTTGATTAGAAACGTTAGTTAAATCATATTTCCATTTTGTCAAAGTTTCTAATAATTTATCTATTGAAGTATTTGACGGCACTTTATAAAAACAAACACAATTACTTCTACAAGATGGTTCGCTAGATGTTTTGCCTTTTTTATTATTTGTTAATGTAGATTCTATATCATAAATAGGCTTAGTTTGTCTTACACTTGACATTTGGGATACAATATCTTTAGAAGTGTTATCTTTTCGTGACAGTCTACATTCATTTTCCATAGAACAATTTGGTTTATGATGCTTAATTGTTTTAGAAGGATATTTTTGTGAATCACAAAAACACACATTAACAGTATATGCTTGTTCATTCTTTTTATAAGTTTTACCTGTTTTTCCAATATTGCCAGTAATGTTTTTATTTATTTTTTTAGAACTACCAATTACATCTGACTGTTTTTTCTTAATCGCAGTAGTTTTGTTAGAGTTTAGATGGTACTTTGAAATATTATCAGTATTAGCTAATCCGGTATATTTTATGTCCTGTTCTTTATTATTTTCTAAGTTATTAACTTGTTTGTTAGACCCAGCCACAGAACTTGCCTCTAGTACCTTTAATGAGATAAATATTTTTATTTAAGGTTTTGTAATTACGAAAAGAATTCATTTGAGAAATGTAGTATAACATTTACTTACCGAAGAACGATGCACCATTTTAGCTATATTATTTTCCATTAATTTTAAATCTGCTTTCTTAATAGTTTCCTATAAATAAATAAGTATACATTACAGAATAATGTTATTACTAATATAATAACGAATAATGAGATTTCTAGAAGATCTAACACAATTGTTATTGACGTCTCTGTGAAATTTAAATTTAGATTTAAGGTATTCAGAAGAATTGGGATAATATAAAATAGAATAGAGGGTACAGAGCAGACGAACATTTCTACGTTGTCTGAAGGGAAGCCATTTAAGCTGAGAATGGTAAAATGAGATAATAAATAAGTAATAATATATAAGTAACTCTTTTAAGGTCTTCTATTTGCGCTCTGAGCTGTGTAACGTCCTGGAAGGTCTTGCGCCAATACGGAGGAGCAGTAGTACTGACGCCTGTGACTCCACTACCGGCACCACTCCCTCCCACTATTGGTGGTTTTACAAAACACGAATATACCGCTATAACAAAGATAAGTCCATTAAATATTTTATTAGATTGTACAAAATTAAAAGTTAAGTATACAAGAAATAGTTAACACGTTAAAATTTAATTGTTTATTTTAGACTAAGCAATCCATATCTGTTAGTGTCTATTTAATTCATTTATCAATCGACTTCAAAAAGATTGAGGTTCTCAGTTCGGTCGTATTTTTTTTAAGTTTGTTACATCATAATTCCTCCAGTTCTAAACTAATTTGGAAAATTCTTTTTTTATCTGATAGGATATACTTACAAATTCGTCCCATAGAAAATTTATCAAAATCTGTTTAGTAGTTTAGTGTCAGATCAAAATAACTGGTTTTGTTACAATTGAAGTAGGTTTTTCTTTGTGGGACACTATTTATATTATTTCGACCACCACAGAACCGCTTCTATACTTACTTCAGTTCATTTATTTCACTTCTACAAATTTAACGAAACAATTACCTACGCAAACAATCTCACTGTAAATCTCAGGAGAAATGCGAAATGTGATTGCTATCTTTAACTAAAACATCAAAATATAGATAACAGATAATCTCCAAGCGCATACGGCGAGACGTCAGTTCAATACGACACGTACCGATACGAATTGACAATACAGCGGAACTACAAAGATTAGATGTAATTTGCCCTTGAATTTTGATGTGTATTTTCCAAGTCTTTGATTTAATCGAGAATTAGATTAAAAATAACTAAATCAATAATTAAGGGGTCTGAAATAAATTGCCGAGAACATGTGCTCATTATCGATCACTAATTAGGAGAAAAGTTTTCGAGTGGCAATCCCGTATGAGTAAACACAATATACATACGAGTAGTATGTATAAAAAGACCCTCTACTATATAAAGCGACGATTTTAAATGAGTCGATGAATACGAATAACCTAGGACATTTTCTTGTATTAGATTGTGAAGAAGACCTATATATAGCAATGGACTGTGAATAGCTGAATTTCATTAATTCACCACTATCAGTGACGAATAAATAATAATACGACTAACCTGATTGCGGCTTGCACTCACAAGGCGGAGGACCCGAGCTTACTATATCCTTTGCTCGTTGAACAAGTTGCTCAGCTCTCTCTTGAAACATCTGTTCAGCAAGCTTAGTAGCAAGTTTCTGTGCCTTACGTTCGAGAGCCCGTTCTTGCCATCCTTCGTTTTCGACTTCTTCAGGGTCGGGGATAACCCTCGAGACATCAGCACATGATGCACCAACCCACTGAAGTTTTATTATTGTAAGTACCTTATTTTGTATAATTCGTTTAGGTGTATATTTTTGGGGTGAAGTAATAAATTGTCAATAAATGTTTTGAAAATGAAATATAACAGTCAATGCATTTTGTGATAAAAGAGGAATAAAATGTAATACTCGAAAGTAGCTGCAGATTTGGATATCACAGACGACACAGTATAATTTATGATGAGATATATGGCTAAAGGAGATTGGCCTTACCGTACCTTTATTATTATTAAGAATGATTGTGTAATAAATATCAAAATACTTTTTCAAAATCTTACAATATTAATGTACTAATATTTTAGTTATGCCAGCTGTTTTATCGAAATGATTCCTAAATCAGACCAATAATATCCTGTATCCTTCCTGCTGTATCCTTTAATTCCTAGAAGGACTTGAGCCTCAATTTTTTAGCGCTATTGGACATGTTTTTGACGGAGCCTCTCTAACGACGAAAAATAATAAAAGGTGACCATGCCGCTCTTTGTTGATCTGTAGTGTTCCTGTGTAAATTTTTGACAGGTCGCGATCCACTCCCAGGCGAAGAAAGAAGAGACCCCACAAATTTACTGTTCATTTTACATAACAGTACTAATGTGGAGTACAATATGATATTTAGAGCGCTCTTCTTAGATCTCGGCTTTGGATCTTAGTGCCCTGGACGCCACCCAACCACCTTACTCGCTCACTTATTACTATACACAATTTTTCCCAATTAGTCAAGTCGTCACTAAATAAATATGTAACATTACAAATATATCATGCCATCTAGAATTTAAGTAAGCAACAATTTACATGTAGGTATAGATATTATATTATAAATACTATTCGTTTTTCAACTGACTTGAAAAACGAAATCTGTATACGAAAGTATATCTGAAAAGATATACTTACAGATTTGTTCCAAAGAAATATTATTAAAATTGCTTCCGTAGTTTTTTTTTTAATCAAAATAATAGATTTCACTACGATAGAAGTGTTTTTTATATAACATAATCTACATAATTGCTCAATAATAAAGGAATTTTAATAATCATTTAGTTTCAATATTCGTCATTATTACCTGTGAACTTATATACTCAAGTACAAATAAATTACAACATTAATTCAGATGTCTTATCAAGATATTGATAAAAAATTGTAACAAAATTGAATTGTCATTGTTAACTTTTACAATTCTTAGTCACTGATATTATTTTAAGTGGTCAGAATGACTTTCAATACCTATATGTATAATGAGTATAATAAAAAGGAATGGATTGTTATTAGTCCCCAACTAATGGCCCTGTTGCTACCAATATACCTACACTATAAAGTGCTCTCCGAGCGCTCTCGTCTAGAGATCGACGTTATTAATATTTGACAAATTATCATAATCAGTCAACTGAACAAACATCACTTATGATCCCTTATTGGTATGTATGTACCTAATTAGCGTAAACCAATAGTACAGGCGGGGTTGCTATTCCATTTTATAAACTAATAATATTTCTATGCGATTTCAAAATGGACAAGATTGTCGGTTCTTTTGTTTTCTTCCTTAATCTAAACCGATTTTGATTATACTTTTAGAAACCGATAAGATTTACTACTAAGTTAGTAAGATTGAATAATCGTCGTTCAGACTTATGTACAATAAAAGTGGGCTAGAAAGTTAGGCATATAGGAATATAAATTTTTCTATTCGTAATCATAGTGAATTGGTTTATTATAAGTTAAAGAATTCTATTTATCTATTTCTGATGCTTACCTTAGCATGATAATTCTCAATTGATGTTGCAATAGCGACATCCAACTCTCCAATTAATAATTGAGCAAAGAAATTCCGTAGATTAGTCTTGACAACACTCGTTCGATTCCAATTATGCTTATCCTCTAGACATTTTAGTAACTGGCACGGCATCTGTAAACCAGAGCCTCCCAACTCGGCTTGCAGTCCACCGAACAAGTCTGCTAATAGGTTAGACAGCAATTGACTACGTAGGGATGTACACGAGCATGATTCCTGAAAACATTTTAATAGTCATGCAATTTAAGCATAAAAAACTTAACATTATAAACATCTATTTATCTTTATGATTATAATGAGTAGACCTTTGTTCATATAGTACCTACCTACTATTACTAACTGTTGATAAAAAAGATGGAAATGTAATATATATTTATAAAAGATTTATACAGTTATGCATATTATATGTAATTGATAGACTAATAACATTAATGTTCGGAGGACGTTCAAGTATTATGTAAATAGTTTTATATAATAATTGTATAATATATGTAATATTTTTAATGCACGATAATGAAGTGGTAACCCTGCCTGTGCTATCGATATATGCTGGCGGGGCATCAGTAAAAAATTATAAGTAAGGTTGAAAACAGGTCAGTTGGCCCTTCGTAACGAATTCGACAAGAATTAACCATGGTGATTTCCAGGTGGGATCATGCGGAGATTGATCAAGCTGTCGTATTACTATCAATAGTACCACTAATTATTATTGTAGATAACTACAATAAGTAGGAGGAAAGAGATTGATAGTAATGGTGTGTAATGGCCCCATTGCTAGCAATGTACCCTATCAGCTCGACCTCCAAGCGGTTTCCCTCGAAAACGTTGTGATTAAGTCATTACCATTCCATATTCATCAATAAAAAAACCACAATAAATAAGACATGGAAAAAACCAACTACTGCCCTTTGCAATTCATATCTAACTCCGCCATAAGAAGGCTTGCATTTAGTTACGTACTAGTAATTTATCTTCAGGATTGCACTTGCACAAAGCTGCAAGAGATGGCGTACGCTTCGCTTCTACAGTAACATCGATTGGTATTTTACAACGGCACTCCGTCACCTTATCCTTGAGCTGTGAAAGTTGTTCTCTTTTTTTCTTTAATTCTACTACCTTATCCTGCATACGGTTATCACACATTACTTTACAGCCTTCTAGATCTTCCACCATATCTAACTTTTCTTGTTTCAATTCTTCAAGCTAAAAACAGACAATTTTATTTGAGGAACTAGATTCAAGTTAATCATATTAGATATCAAAATAAATAAAAACCAATTTCCAAATGTTTGTTAGTATGTCACTTCAAATCTATTTGGCAAATTCTTTTTTGTTGTGTTTGTAATTGTCAGAATAAAGTTTGTATGGAAGTAGTGGAGAAATGAAAAAAAAAATTGTTATTTGCGTATGGGGTCAGATAAATCGTTGCACGTTGACTTGTTGGGACCTTTCGTACTTCCTTCGGCCTTATATTATAATTTTATAGATCCTATTCTTTTAGCTCTGGATAAGCTGTTCCCAGTAGATTCATACACATACTTGCCAACGAATCAGATGTAACATGGATTCCGATTCCTTATTATTGCGATTTATGGGTTAAATAATCTCCATATAAAAAAGCGAGTGAGTGATATAAAAGACAATACTATATAAAACACAAAAAAAAACGCGAGAAGCCGGGACGGACTTATTTACAAAATCATACATGTTGTGTTTATGAATATCTAAATGGTTTAATACCGGTTTCACAAATATAAATAAAAATCAGTATAAAGTTCCTGATGATCTCCATAATCTTCGCTATATTGCTACCGCTAAGCAAACTATGTTTAATTTTTTTTTAAATAATGTCATGAAAGATCATGATTGGATTATTATCTATACCATATGAATACATACATATAACTTTTTCTGTCAGTAATGAGTTTTTATGTAATTACATAAAAATATTAGATTAATAACTACTGGAAGAAAAACAAGCGCCTACAAATCTGTATAAGGACAATATTTACATGAGAAACTCAATAGGCGTATTATTTCTACGTAATGTAAACATTGTAGTAGCTACTTATAATCACATATCCTCTTACTTGATTGTAACTAGATTGTTTAAATTTTTACTTAAAAGAAATCTTTGTATTCGTTCCATCATGAGTACAAAATAGGATTAAATATAAGTAGATATACTTTGCGTACCTTGAAGTCTTAAAATTTGATATATGAATAAATGAATGATTTATTTTATTTCACAAAAGGTAATAAAAAAGTAACAGCATAAGATATAATGAAATTTGTAAGACCTATTTTGTGAGAGACTGGTGCCTGCTTATAGCTTTTAAAAATAATATGTTACAGATCATCAGTGCCTCGTCGTCACAAACTACACAAAATAATATTAATACTACAACAATATATGTAATAGGAATACTGTTTACTTTAGATATGTTATCAAATTAAGTAATAACGATTTATCTAAGAAATAATGATATAAAGGTATGTTATCTTAAAATAATATAATAACAGCGCTAAGAGTGCTTCTAAATGTGTTATTATTATTACTACTCACCTAATATTACTTACCACAATGTTATAAATAGTGGCATTACTACAGAAAATGTATGTTGAGTTTAAATAAGTCATAATAATCTTTGCAACTTTTTATCAACTATTGTATATATATTGTTAATAAATTATAATTATTTACATATACTTAGAAAATAACGATAAAAATTATACTAGATTGATGTAGACTTATAAAATACATTACCTACCTATCTATGAAATAATTTATTATAAACTTTAAAACCAACTAAACAGTTCTATGCATGTATAGTATTAGATTTTTTTTTATGGGTGAAAATGGTATGGTAACCCCGCCTGCGCTAACGGTATACGCTTGCGAAGCACCAGTGAAGGGTGATAAGTGAGAATGAAAACAGGCCAGTTAGCCCATCATGATGAATTCATCAGGAATTAACCATGATAGTTTTCAGGGAGAACCGCTAGGAAGTCGACCTGGTTGGGTATATTGCTAGCAATGGGATTCTCAATCTCCATTACTAACAATCCCTTTCCCCCCTAAAGTATTAGATTTAGTGTACTTGTTTGTTTCAAAAACTGGTATGGATGAATAAACACAGATTATATAATGTCAACAAACTGAACACAAAAAAATATTAATTACAAGAAGCAAGGTAAACAGGCAACAATTCCGCACTGTTACGGCTAATATTTTAAAGAAATAAGTTAAACTATACCTCCTGTTTAGTTTGATTATATTCAGCGTCTTCTTTGAGTAGTTCATTGGAAACCTGTGTAATTTGTTCACGCAGTGCGGCTAGCTCTGAACGCATTGCTCGCTCCGCTTCATGAGTGAGCGCGCGCGCAGATTCTACTTCATTCTCCATATTCGACAGCTTTCTTCGTGCCTGCTCCTCCTTGAAATTTCAATAAAATAATTTTTAAATGACTAAATTTTAAAAAAGAATTTCTCTATTTGTTAAATTTTTTCAGAACCGATATTGATAATTATTTTTGACACTGATGAGACTTATTGCTATTTTGCTCTATGTCATCATTTTCTTACCGTTTGCTTTGCAGGAAAAAGAAGGCGTTTATTATTTTATTTGTATTTTTTTAAATAATAGTCACATGAAATAGTTTTACCTGAAGATCTCTATCCAGTTGAGCAGCTTTACACTGACGTTCAGCAACAGTAGTATCTCCCCGTGCAGATTCCTCGCTCAAGCGCAGACGTACACATGCCCGGTCACAGACCTCCTTCTCAATTTGCGTCAAACGCACACAGTCCTTTTCTGTCGTCTCTCCTCTTTCTTTTAGATGAATTGCCAAGGTCGTGCAAACTTTTTTGTAACTATCCCGCTCATCAATAATTTTTTGTATCTAGTTCAATTAAAAATTTTGAAATTTAATTTTGAATTAGTTGCACCGACAAGAGGAAACTCTTAAATGAAAAGAAGAGTTCAATTAATACATAGTTATAATAAGAACTAAATACCTAGGATGAGTTTAACACAGATTTATAATACTACTGTGTTAATGTGTATGTGGATAATTTGTATTATAACTTAGTTTCACTCCAATGGATGGTTTTGAAATCTGAGATTTCTATACAAACTTTATAACTCATATTAGTCACCCTAATATTTTTCATCAATATTATACATTAACAAGTTTTTTTTTTTTTACTTTTTTTAATCAACTTAGAATTACATACAAGCTGGCGGCCCACCTGATGGAAAGTGGTAACCGTCGCCTATAGACATGAACGGCACCATGGACATAACAGGGTATACTGTTTCGCCCATGATCGCCCATGCGTTGCCATTACTGAGGACTCAGGTGTTATTCCTCTGTACCCTGTAAATTCACGCCATATCCCACCCTTCTAACCGAAACACAGCTATACAAACACAACAGCTTCACGGTAGAAACACGAATAGGACAGAAGTGTCCAAGCAAACAATTTTTGTACAAAGTCTCCCTCGGGTGTAGGTAGTACAAAGAATAACTGTATTATTCAAGACCATTAATATACAATTAGGTACTACCAAGTATACTTACAATGACACAAAAATTACATATTACATTTAGTACATTAAACTTGTTACTTAAGATAGACCCTGCAGTATACGTAAGTAGATAATTTGCATTACATGGTTTATTATCATTTCTTTACACGAACCACTTGAACAAATTATTTAGCATGCTTAACGATGCCTATTTTTGGTATAAAGGCTAAGCGTACGAACATGTTATTCTTATTATTAACCTGTTTCGTTATATCGTCTTCCTTTTCTTCAGCAAGTGATAGGCGTCGCTGGTAACCGAGTTCTAAGTCCTTCCATGCCGCTTCAGCGCGTTCCAGCAACTCGACGCGCTCAGCTTCCCGGTGCGCCAGCCGGCCCGCGCGCTTTCGCAATTCTTTTGTTGCCGCATCCAGTTCTGCAAGGCGCTCTACACACCCATTGTCTATGCAGCATGCCTAAATAAACAATATACCTACTCTAACTTTATCTAGATATTGGTTAGGTATATATGTATATTGGTATATAGGCAGAATTTTTCAAAATAGTTAATACTTTTTCTCATAGCAATGTGACCCTTTTTTGCATTGGAGTACATAATACCTTATAAATGGGAATTCTTTGTTGGACTGGAAAAATTACTTTAATACTATAGGTC